CTTTGGCAGGAGTGGAGCATTTCTGTGACATAAGGAGAGTGAAGGCGAGATTGATTGGAAAGTTTGCAAAGGACTCAAGGCCAGATTAGAAGTGTGGACTTCACCCCAGGAAAGGAGCAGGCGCCGGCGTCAGCAGAGATGCGTGTGCAGGTGGACGGATGGGAGCACAGAGTGGGGAGGCGAGGAAAGCTGGGAGGAACACAACTGACCACTGGTCCCCGGGGACAGGGCTCAGCTGCAGGCTCGGATGCTGTAGTCTGGGGACCCCTTTCTAAGGAGCATGGGTCCTAACCTGGCTGCACGTCAGAGCTGCCTGGCACATCGTCAAATGAATAATGTTTCCCACCAATATTTTATATCATATCGATAAGTATCATGAATTGAACTTCAATAACATGCCAAGAAAAGTTTTTTTATTTGTCTTCACAGAGTTCCAACTTGCTATATTTTTTTCACAAAAGAAATCTTTTTAAATACATTTTAATTAAATTGAGTTGGTACATTTTTGAGATCTAGTAGTTTAATTATAAAGACATTTAATAGAATAATTTTCATCTTTTCATGACTCTCCTTGTCCCCTTTCTGATCAACTCCAAGGCCATAAGAATTCTGTGACTTTTGAGTTACTTTAGTTATTTTTAAGATGGAATATAAACAATGAATTATTATTTTTTGCCAATATCAAACAGAAAGGAGATCTAAATGATGGCAATAAAAACACTTCGGCAAACATGAATATCCTCAACTGTAGCAGGAAATAATGAAAAAAGTCAAAGAAAATTGCTTTGTAACCACTCTTTCATAGTGTCCATAATGCGAGAGACTTTTTTACAGTTGTAATGTGGCGCTGTTTTGCAGCTGTGTATCTAGTGTCCCAGTGAACAGTCTGCAAGGGGGATTCCTAGGCCTTAATTTCTCTGCCTAGCCTGCAGTGGCAAATCCAAGGAGGCAATGTCATCACCCTTTAAAATGTAGTTATTGATATATGCAACCTTCTGTGTGTGATTTGGGAGACCCTTTTATTTTTTTATTTTTTTTTTTATTTTTTATTTTTAAGCCTCTAAACATTTGGCATGGGAGACCCTTTTAAAACTCATCTCTATATATGTAATCTTAGGAAGCCCAATTTGAAGTGCTGCTGCAACCTGCTGTGAAATATGCTGACTGAATCACAGATCAAAGCCAGAGGCTGGCAGAAATCTACCACCACATTCTTTATTCCTTAGAGAGTCTTTTAAAGAATTGTTGGCACATTCACACTCCAGAGTGAATTTTTGCATTTTATTTTCATTACAGAAACTTGAAATTCATGAACTCAGAGTAGTATCAGTAACAATTTGGAAGATATTCTTGGAAATGTTCAGTGAAGCCTCCCAGATCTCCCTGGATTGCTAAGCATCAGAGCTGGAAGGAGTTTTCATCTCCATCTTGGAGTGCAGGGGACTAGCTTTGCGTTGTCACCCGCACCTTGAGATCGCTCTCCTTCAGTGGTTTTGGAAAAGGCACACCCACCACTTCCTTGGGAAGGTGGTCTTTAATCACATCGCTCAAGAACTTCAGATGTATTTTTTGTTAACCATATTCCATCCCTTCCACTCATGCTAGTCATTACCGTCTGAATAAATTCGCCCACCTCCCTCCACCCTATGTTCATCCTATTTTAAATTGGTTGCTTGCTAAACTCTATAGCTAAAGTCTTCATATTTAATTTTTAGTTCCTCCCAGCTCTTCTAATCAAAGCAGATTAGTCTCTGTATCCCATGCTCAGTATTATATGTCTCTTGTCAAGAGGACGGACCATTTCTGAATCGGAGCATTGCAGAAAATGCTCCCACCCCCGCCCGCCAACAGTGTGGCCTTCCCTCCCCACTGCGACAGAAACTTCCCTGGCCTTGACACAGATTCCAGGTCTCTTTGCTTGTCTCCTGCTCGGTGCTCAGGACCTCAGGGTGCCCTTCCCGGGCTTGCCACTCCACCACATTCCAGACCAGCAGCCACTGCTGTTGGCAAAGCAGGCCTCAGACAAGGGCAGGCACCTCAGCACTGCTCGGCCCCTCCGGAGCCAGCTCCACACCCGTGGCCACGCACGGCCTTCTGGCATGCAGGCCCCTTGCAGGGCCTGTTCCAAAGCGGCCACCACAAGCAGATCAGGGTCCCTTTGGCTTCTCAACGGCCTGCCTGTGCATAGACAATGCCCACCACGGCGCCACTGCTGCAGCTCTCCCAGCTCCGCGGGCGTGGCGCCCCGCCTCCCGCCCATCTCCCTGCCAGCCTGGCTTTATGGTCCTACAGGGCTCTCACCACGGCCTGGCATATTTTACATGCATTCTTTGATCTGTTGTTATTTGTCTTTTTCACTAAAATGGGAGGCCCATGGGACAGGTCTCTCTTCTGTTGGTCCAGTGTCCCTAGCACCTAGCACAGGACCTGGCCCCCGTAAGTCCAGGTGGGACGAACCAGCGTCCTCAGACAGTGCAGGCGCAGACACCACTGTAGCCTGCCTTCCCTTGGCTTGCAGCTGAAATGACCTCATTCCTGCTGGCTGAGGTCACAGCTCCCCCGCCACTTCCTGTCCCTCTGAAAGGCCATTCCTGACACAAGCAGATCCACTGCTGCCCCTCCATATATTCTGCTTGTGGCTTACCTGCCCTGGGGGTGCCGCTCAGGCCAAACCCAGGGTGCGTGGATAGAGGCTGCCAGACGCACCCTAGGGCCAGGCCTAGGCCACTAGGTGCAGTCTCTGGCTTTCCAAAAGAAAGGAGCTAAGGTGGGCAAAAGAATCAAGTGGTTCAACAGTGCCTTTGGCCACCACCCATAAAGATGGCCCCTTTGCCTCTGTGGGGAGGAACAAGACCTTCCTCTCTCTTCTTGGGTTCTGTGGCTGAGCCCTTCAGAGAGACGCGGAGACGTGTTAGCGGGAGGCAGCGCCTGCACATTTATGCCATGCCTGCACGTGCGCAGGGAGCCGTCGCAAGAAAAATGAAGACGCAATGAAGCAGTCGGGACCCATAGCTTATGTACCTTTTTGACAAAACAATAATAAATTTATGGAGAGTGACAAAGGGGAAGGATTTAAGCTCCTGGGGGCAATAAACTGTGGGACAGTGGCCAGGAAGTACACAGAGAAATTCATGAAAGGGTTATTTTACTGGGTTTGTTCGGACACATCCATTTCGACATTGGCTGCCAGTCTCTGGTGATAAGAATGTTGTCTTCCTGGTACCAGGCGGGCGCCTTCCTCGTGGTGAACTTGTGGCTTGAGGTCCAGGGGGTCAGTCAGCTGGTGCTGCGTCTGCTGAATGTCTCGCCCGCAGCTCAGTCGTCAGTGTGCCGAGGTGCACGTGTCCGATGGCACGTTCCAAAGCCGTGCCTCCCTCTTGCCCAAGCTGAGCGTCTTGGGGGCCTTCGTGGGGACGGCACAAGAGCATGTGGAGTTGGGGGCGCCCTCTCCGCCATGCAGAATGCCCGTGAACACAGGCCACCTGACTGCAGGTGCCCAGCGACAATGCCCGCCCACCCGTTTGGCAGGCAGGGAAGCTGGCATGGCCCCTGTCTGTCCACACCTGCCCTCCACTGCCATAGCCTTGCTGGCCAATGCACAAGTGCCACCCGGACACCCCAGCCAGAGAGCATGGGCCACTCAGACTTCCTCCCTCCTCCCTCTTTCCTTCTCCCTTCCAGAAGGCCCTGCTGCCCTATTTCTCTAGAACTGTCCTTTGTTCACCAGTTAGCCCATCTGTGGCTCTTCCTGGTCCCTGTGTGGCCTCTCAGCCCTCCTTCACTCCATCTGCAGGAGGAAGATGAGGACAGAGGACATTGGTTCCTTCCACCTGTACTGGAGCCAGGTCCTCAGCTAGGTGCTGGGGACATCCAGGCCAATAGGACGGAGACCTGCTCTATGGGCCTTGCGTTTCAGTGGAAGAGACAAATAAGGACAGAAAAGCAATAAATGTAAAATGTTCCAGGGGGTGGTAAGGACCTTGTAGGACCATAAAGCCACACTGGCGCCGAAGGGGGCAGGGGAGGCCTCTCTGCAGAGGGAGCGCCAACGCCTCAGGGCATGAAGAGACAGAGAAGTGGCGCCATGACAGCCATGTCCACCTGCAGGCAGACCCACAGGTGCCTGCCCCTCTGCTGGCTCCCCCTTCCAGCAGGTCACACCAATGGCTAGGATGGACTTACACCAACAGGCTTTGCCAGTGTGCCCCCACTCACCGTGCACACTCACACACAGTCACACACAGCAATCGTGCACTCACATAGTCACATACATACACACATACTCATGCACACTCACTCACAGACACATACACACACTCATTGTGCACACTCATGCACATACACTCATCGTGCACACTCACAGGGTCATATACATACACACATACTCATGCACATATACTCATCATGCACACTCATACTCATACAGTCATACACATACACACACTCATTGTGCACAGTCATACACATACACTCACTGTGCACATTCACACTGACAATAATCGTGCACTCACATGGTCATATATACAGACACTCATGCACACTCACACACAGTCATATATACACATACTCATTGTGCACAGTCATGCACATACATACTCAGGCACATAGATAGTCATACACATACACACACTCATCGTGCACATTCACACAGTCATACAAACTATTCATGCACATACAGTCACACACACACACACATACAACTTTGGATCTGAGTAGGAACTTATGCTAAAGGAACATCCACCACCTTCCACTTTTTATTTAGATTGCAACACATTCTTCTACTAGCTTAGCCTTGGAAGGGAGGCCGAGCCCCCTCTCCATTTCTGAGTAGCCCCCCCACTCCCACCCCATGCAGTGGGGAAGAGAGGAGAGAAGGTGGCAGTGATGAAAAACAAATGCAGTGCCCTGCTGGGTCAGAGATGTTGTGTCATCCAGACAAATGTGTATTCAGGAAAGAAAGTGGGAACTTACCCCAGCTTCTTGACCTGCTTTCTTCACAGCTTCCTGGAAAGAATTGACAGTGTCAGTCTGGTTGACTACACACCCACAGACCAGGTACGTGGAGCAGAGCCCACCACCACCGTTGGAAACTTTGGATATTGATTCCCAATATTAAGTAGTGATTATTTTTAAATGGATTAAAGGGGGGAGGGGAATCCTTAAAATAATGACTTTTAAGACCAGGCGCGGTGGCTCACGCCTGTAATCCTAGCACTCTGGGAGGCTGAGGCAGGAGGATTGCTCGAGGTCAGGAGTTCGAAACCAGCCTAAGCAAGAGCAAGACCCTGTCTGTACTAAAAATAGAAATAAATTACTTGGATAGCTAAAAATATAGAATAGCTAAATATATAGAAAAATATAGATATATAGAAAATATAATAAAAAAAATATATAGAAAAATATAGATAGCTAAAATATATAGAAAAAATTAGCTGGGCATGGTGGTGCATGCCTATAGTCCCAGCTACTCGGGAGGCTGAGGCAGGAGGCCAGTTGAGTCCAGGAGTTTGAGGTTGCTGTGAGCTAGGCTGACGCCACGGCACTCTAGCCCAGGCAACAGAGTGAGACTCTGTCTCAAAAAAATAATAATAATGACTTTCAAATCGTTTGTGCTGCCCCGCTTGTGTTGTGGCGTGTTGAAGCCCTGTACCTCTGCTTCTCTGGCCGGGGACTCTAACACTTGGTGGCTGTCTAAACGGCCAGCATGCAAGCAGGCTCCCCCGCAGCCCGGGAGCATGCGAGCCCACTCCTCCCGCCAACAACAGGAGAGCTCAGCCTTCCCTTCCCAGCTTCCCACGCGGCGGCCCCGGACTGGCGCCCATCTCACAGCGGACTTGCCAGGAGTGCCCCGAGCTTCTCCTGTGGGCTGAGCCAGAAAGCAGTGCCCTGCTGCTGTCCTGGCAGAGAGGGACTCTGTGTCCCCTGGCCCTCGGGCAGCTGCAGACACTTGCAGGGTCCCAAGCTCTCAGTTAAGGAGCTCCACGGTGCTTCTAGAGCTAGCGAACCTCAAGGAAGCTATGGGGTCTCTGTCCAAACCAAACTCTCCAAACTTCCCCAGCATCTGTATCCCCTGGGGGGCTTTGGCCTTGGGCCCCTGAAGGCTCTCTCTTCTTGGCCTCCATGGAGGTCTGAGATCCTCTCCCCCTGATGTTTGTCTCTTTCTGAGGCTGACTCCAAGAGTTTAAAATTATCTGACAGCAATTGAGGCTTCCTAGTCCTCAGCCAGTCCCTCAGGGCTGTCCTGAACCGTGACGCTGACATGGGAGGACGCTGACATGGGACTCTTCCAGAGCCGTGGCAGAGTGGCTGCTTCATTAACACCATAGTGGATTTGGCGGTCAGGAAGAAATCTCTGGCATCTGCCAAATGCACCAGAGATGTCAGCTTCGTGAGGCTATGTGGCTTTGTTGTCCCCTCAGGGCCATTCGCCTTTTATCTTAGAACAGAAATGTGCAAAGAAGGGAGCGTAAACCTAAAATCAGCCAGGCCATGAGATTCAAGGTCCATGAATGCAGAGTGCACTTCCTGTGGCTTCTCCCCAAAGCACCGCGCCGGCTCTGCAGTGGCAGCAGGACAGCCGCAGAGCCCGTCCCTCCAGAATGACGAATGCTGCCACTTGGCGTCAGGTGCATAACCATCAGTACGAGGCCTTCATAAATGACAAAAAAAGTCTTAAAGAAACCAAAGCACAGTTATCAAGTCTTTAATGACCAAACTGATACATTAATCATGTTTTCTCTGGAGCATGAAACAGAGAACATTCATCTGAGTTTTTAATTATTATTGTTTCCTCTAAATTTTTGATATATATATATATCATAGCTATAGATATATATCATAGATGATATATATATCATCATAGCTCACAGCAACATCAAACTCCTGGGCTTAAGCGATCCTCCTGCCTCAGCCTCCCGAGTAGCTGGGACTACAGGTGCGTGCTAATGTGCCTGGCTAATTCTTTCTATTTTTGGCAGAGACAGGGTCTCGCTGTTGCTCAGGCTGGTCTCAAACAATCCTTCCACCTTGCCCCCCCAGAGTAATAGAATTGCAGGCCTGAGCCACCTCCCCTAGCCTGATTTTTTTTTTTAATTTTAGATACAGAGTCCCACTCTTTCACCCAGGCTGGGATGCAGTGGTGCGATCACAGCTCACTGTGACCTTGAACTCCTGGGCTCAAGCAATCCTCCTGCCTCAGCCTCCCAAAGTGCTGGGACTACAGGCGTGCGCCACCATGCCTGGACAGAAATTCCATTCTCACAGTCCCACCAGGGCTTTCCTGTGAAGAAGACAGTAATGTAACATGTGGGCTTCCCACTCTTGCCCCCAGGACCTCCTCAGATGCAGAGTTCTGACATCCGGGATCTTTGAGACACGATTCCAAGTGGACAAAGTGAACTTCCAGTGAGTATGTCGCCAAGAGCAAGGCTGCTGCGGGGAGGCGCGGTGGGCCTGAGGCGCTCACTCCTGGATGCTGGTGGCGGCCGTTCAGTCAGACAAGGGCGGCCTGGGTGAGATGTGAGCTCTGGCATAAAGTGGAAATGAGAAGACCTGAAAAGAAAACGATGTTCTCATCTGAGTTGTAGATTTGATTGGTGCTTGGTTGGATCAGGAGCCTCGTCAGATTAGTTCTTCCAGCATACGACCTGCATGCAGTTGCAGCTTGAAAACTGAAGACGGCAGCCTCATGCCGTCTCCAGGGCTCTCCTGGGCTGCCCAGGCACAGACTCCGCTGTAGGAGCTTAGTTTCTTCACTCTCCTCCCCAGGAGAAGCGGCTACCTCTCCCTCCACAGAGGCTCGTGCGCTGTGTGCTGCCTGCCGCCCCTGTGGCCGTGACCCTGCGCCCTGTCAGCGTCCCCAGACTCTCCGCAGTGGCTGGCTGGGCCCCGTGTCCTGGCTCACCCATTCCAGCCCACGCTGCTCACTGCCCGGAAATGACTCTTCCCAAAGCACAGCTCGGCTTGTGCTCTTCCTCTGCTGGAAAGGGTTCGGGGCTCGCCATCACCTCTGCACCCTCTAGCCCGAGCGCATTGCCAGCCTCCACCTCCGGCCCTGCTCCTCCACCTGCCGCCTGGCCCACCAGCTTGGACTGCAGTCAGGGCCCTTCTGTCCCACCCAGCCCCTCCTGCCACAGTGCCTTTGCTCATCCCACCCTCTGAGCCCCAGATGCCCTGTGGCCTAAGCACACCCTACAGATCTGTCATCAAAGCACCCTTCAAATCTCAGCCCAGGGTGACTCCTTGGAATTCCTGCGTCTACTATGTAGCCAGCGCTTGATGGCGTGCTGCTGCCTCACACCTTTCCCAGGTCACCCTTGGCATGTCTCACTTGGCTCAGCAAGTCAGTGGTGACAAACCAGCAGGAGTCCTGTGTTCTGCTTGCTCTGAAACTTCCAAAATGCTGAGCGCTCTCCTCAGTGCCCAGGTGATGGGCACCTACTTCTGGATTCCTGAGAGCCCCTCACGACGCTACTGCCAGGACGTACATCCTGGATAAAACCCAACTAAGTCTCTACACTGTGGAGAGAGGTGCCCAGCACAGCTCAGAGTTGGCGTGATTTGTGGTTTTGCCCACATTGTAACTGAGTCCCTGGAATAGTGGAATTATGAACAATGACTGACATTTTACCCTACATTCGTAATCTTGTTTAAAAGTATTCTGCTAGTCAGCTCATATGTTTTCATAAAGTGCCCCGTGCCCTACGTGTGCTAACGGCAAAGCACATGGCTGCAATCTAGTGAGATCTTCAACAAACCTGCTGGGACAATTTACATTCAGCCTGTGCGGCCCTGAAGACATGCAGGAAGTTTAGGGAAAGGAAGAATCTCAGAGCCAGAGACACCTGAGGAGGTTGGAAAGATCTGGCAGAATCCGGGTGGATGGAGAGACCCTGCGGGGGGAGAAGTGGCTCAGGCCGAGGGCTGCACTGGGAAGGGCCGTGAGAGTGGCTGAAAGCCCCGGGGAACCGCGTGTGCAGGCTGGCCAGGCCGGGGCAGAGGCGGTAAAGAAGGTGATAAAGGCCCACCGTGGGGCGTGGGCACAGGACAGAGGAGGCTGGTGACCAAGATGTGTGTTGATGTAGGTAGGTCAGCAAGGGACCTTTCTCAGCTCTCCAGGAGAGGGGGGACAGGAGTCCTGAGAGCCGGAACAAGTGCTAAGAAGGGTCTGCCCCGGGCAGGGACTGTGCCTGTGCTCAGGCCTGAAAATCTGAGCAAGAAGGAGTTTAAACTAGAAACCGCTGTGTTTATTAAGCCCCCACTGTATGCCCCTGGACACTGCCACCTGCTGTGTCATGCTCACCTCTACGGCCCCGTGGGGTGAGAGAGGAGGGACGGAGGCTGGGACAGGCAGAGCCTCCTGTAGCCCAGATCACACCGGCGTGAGGGTACGGGCGGACAGTGGCCGGAGCCGACTCCAGACCACATGGCAAGGGCTGGAGCCTGCCGAGAGCAAAGGAGAAAAGCACAGAAGTGCACCTCGTTTCGCTTCCCCCAAGTAACTGTCTTCCTGTTGCTCTTCCACAGCATGTTCGACGTCGGCGGCCAGCGGGATGAGAGAAGAAAGTGGATCCAGTGCTTTAACGGTGAGTCTCTCGCTCTCTTGAGAAGATGGGGGCGAATGCTAGCACTCACCACTGCGGCTGTGCTTAACTGTTGTGAACTAGACAGTCTTTAGTATATGAAGCATAGCATTTTATAGAAGATTATTATCCTTCTTCCTTAGTTGTCAGCCTTATAAATAAAGAACTCGTGCATCCCAAATCTACAGTTACCGTTTGGGTAGGCTCCTCACCGTGTGCGTCACTGAAACAGCCACTCACGCGGTGAAGACTCACGTCATTCTGTGTCAGGTGTGTGCTTTATCATCACCCACAGTGGCTGCTTCTAACTGCGGCGCTTCCCTTTCCCCTTTTCTTCCCCGAAGACGTCACCGCTATCATTTACGTCGCGGCCTGCAGCAGCTACAACATGGTGATCCGGGAGGACAACAACACCAACAGGCTGAGAGAATCCCTGGACCTCTTTGAAAGCATCTGGAATAACAGGTTATCAAAATAACTAATTCAGTCTCACCATTAGATTGCAGATTTTCTTCTATTAAAAATACACATAGGCCGGGCGCGGTGGCTCACGCCTGTAATCCTAGCACTTTGGGAGGCTGAGGCGGGCGGATTGCTCAAGGTCAGAAGTTCGAAACCAGCCTGAGCGAGACCCCGTCTCTACCAAAAATAGAAATAAATTAATTGACCAACTAAAAATATATATACAAAAAATTAGCCGGGCATGGTGGCTCATGCCTGTAGTCCCAGCTACTCGGGAGGCTGAGGCAGTAGGATCGCTGAGCCCCGGAGATTGAGGTTGCTGTGAGCCAGGCTGATGCCATGGCACTCACTCTAGCCTGGGCAACAAAGTGAGACTCTGTCTCAAAAAAAATAAATAAAAAAAAAAAAAAAAAATACACATAGCTCACTTTCATACTTATTCTTCAGATATATTCTTTCCCTACTGATAAGCCCAAACCATAAGAAGTATCCTTTAGTCCGTCTGCAGTCAGACATACTGAGAACAGGGGGTGTCCTTGGCGCCCGGGGCGGGGGGCTCTGAGACCGCGGTTGGCCTCCGTGTTGCAGGTTCTGCGACTGACCAGCCTACCAGCCGCAGATCAAAAATACCCTAAAGTGAAGATAGCAACAAAACTACTACAAATGATAGAAATGAAAAACAAAGTAACAACTATTTACATTGTGTTAGGTACTATAAGTAATCTGAGATACTGGCAAGCACACAGGAGCATGTGTGGGCGCCATGCGAGTACTGCAGCATTTTATATCAGGGATTTGAGCGTCTCAGAGTTGGGGATCCGCAGGTGCCCTGGAACCATTCCCCTGTGGACACTGAGGGATGACTGTGTATGTAGGGCTCAAAATTGGTTTTGTTTGATTTTTAAATTTTAGGAAGTACCAGTTTAAAACACCTGCTAATAACTAGAAGACCTCTGAAATCCCTACAGCTCACCATCACCACATAATCATGTCTGAAACCGTTAGTTGCAGAGTGGGGGAGATGATCATTTAAGAAAGGAATAGCCAGCAGGCACACACAGTACCTACATATTTAGTTAAAAATCAAAGTTTCTTCTGAAATATTTAGGAAGAAATATCACCAAGGAGGACTGGAAACATAAACTGACCTTGCAAAAGGTTTGGATTATCAGAAAAGTATTTCTCTATCAAGTGTTCAACAACCATCTTCAGTTTTATGATGTTAAAAGAGTTCATGGGAAAGACAAAGTGTTGGAAATGCCAAGTATACAGAAGAATATTTGGTAGTTATTATAAATTTATACACACACAGAGAAAACGAGCACAATTGTAATATGAAAAAGCAGATTTAAAAACATCATGATTGGGCTGGGTGCAGTGCCTCACACCTGTAATCCTAGCACTTTGGGAGGCTGAGGTGGGAGGATCACTTGAAGCCTCTTTGAGACCATCCTGGGCAATATAGCAAGAAAAATTCTACAAAAAGTAGAAAAATTAGCCAGTCATGGTGGCATACCTCTAGTACTAGATACTTGGGAGGCTGAGGCGGGAGGGTCGCTTGGGCTCAGGAATTTGAGGCTGCAGTAAGCTATGATTGCACCATTGCACTCCAGCCTGAATGACAGAGTGAGATCCTGTCTCGAAAAAAAAAATCATGATCTTATTTTTATAAATATATGGGAGCATAGAAGAAAACCTGGGTGTAAAAATATAACAATTCTAATAGCATCTCTGGGTGTAATTACGTTAGATTTTTTCTATATGATTTTCTATAATTTAAGATTTGTTTTTGCAAAGACTGTATTTTATAACAAGAAGAAACAGTAAAGCTATTTCCATTTGAGGGGAAAATGGATTGTGGTTTTAATTTATAGTAAGGTTCCTATTCAGCTTGATTCCTTTGAAGTAATGGAATTTCCAAAAGCTTTGCTGATTTGCACAGCTGAACCCCTTCACTGTACCTGAGCCTCCTGCATTTAGCATATCATATAAAGTGCAGTGAATCTACATCTGATTAATATACTCCAAGTTTGGAGAACCTGAGACCCGTTCAAAGGAGGCAGAAAGGCAGAAGTACCAAGCCAGCTGCTAGCTGCACTCTGTGTGGTTAGCTAATGAGTCATCATTTTGTTGTTGACACTGTAACATCATCTGGTGTGTTTTCTAGCCCTTAATTTGTAAATTACACCACAGAAATCCAAGTGGTAGGTAAATCCATTACATAGGTAAATCTTAGCTTTGTTACCAATACATTTATGTCCCCGGTGACTCTGAATTAGAAGGTGACAGGCTGCCAAATTTGCTACAGGTAGAGTATCCCTTAACCAAAATGCTTGGGACCAGAAGTGTTTTGGATTTGAGATTTTTTCAGATTTTGGAATATTTGCATTATATTTGCTGGCTCTGTATCCCTGATCTGAAAATTCAAAATGTGAAATGTTCCAATGAGCATTGCCTTTGAGTGTCATGTCAGTGCTCAAAAAGTTTCAGATTTTGGAGCATTTTGGATTTTAGATTTTCTGATTAGGGTTACTCAACCCGTACCTGTATTTGTCTGTCATTGTTTACAGGTAGAATTAGGATACTGGTGTACCAATCAATTCAAAATCCTGTACATTTTTAGGAAGACGATGTGTTCTTTTAACTTAACAACTTCTGTGTTAGAAGGACTTTTCACACACTAGTGTATGTGAAATTTGTATGTTTATTTCTCCTTTTTAGGTGGTTACGGACCATTTCTATCATCTTGTTCTTGAACAAACAGGATATGCTGGCAGAAAAAGTCTTGGCAGGGAAATCAAAAATTGAAGACTATTTCCCAGAGTATGCCAATTACACCGTTCCTGAAGATGGTAAGATTTCAGAACATGGTGCTCACAATCGAGGAATAGAAGTAACTGATTTTTCAGAAGTCCTGTAACTATAATTCAAACACTGCTGATTAATCTAAGAAAGCCAATTAATTTAAGTCAATTCTCTCTTCTACTGCTTCTGTCCTAAAGTACTGGAGTAAGCGCTCTGTTCAGGATCAACCCCTCGGGCATGTTTCCGAGCCGCTCTCCGTTCCAGCCGAGCAGCAGGAGACGGGCGTGTTGGGGTGTGGGGTGTGGCGCGTTCTCCCCCCCCCCCCCCCCGACCACGTTGTCCAGCCAGCCCCCCCCCCCCCCCCCCGGGGCCTGCAGCTGGGTCTGTGGTGACTAATAGACCTAACTTCACCCTCACAGTGACCTTATTTGGAGTTTCTGTTGTGTTTTCCTGTGGAAAGAGAGGCAGAGAGGTGACATGCTGTGTTCGAGGCCACACCGGTAGAGCCTGTGAAGGCAGGGCAGTCCTTGAGGCCTTTGTCCCCAAGCCTCGCTTTCAGCCACTGTGCACATGCTCCTGTCTCCAGTGAGGCCGTTGCCTGCCACACCGGTGACTTTCACCAGGGTGACCAACCATCCCAGGCCACCTGAGAAGCAGGGGTTTCCGGGCATGTGGGGCTCTCAGTGCTAAAACCGGGAGGGTGGACGGGAGGACTGGCCACTCTAGTCGCTGTGCCGCAGCAAACACCAGGGCTGCCAGAGGCTCACGGAGTGATTTGTTTAAGGAAAAACAACACCATTTCTCGCAGCCGGCACCCTAAGTTAGATAATGTAGCATGAAAGGGACTTCCCTGGAAACTAAAGTGAAGATTTGGGAGATTTACCTTTTGTCATCAATGAAAGTGGAAAGGAAAACTTGCATCTGTCGTTCAACTTGCTCATTACGTTCAGTTTTATCTTCTCCGCCATGGCGCAGGCTCTGTGCAGGCACTTTCCTGGCAAAATCCCGAGCACACACGCCGGGAGTGGGCCTGCGGCCCAGCCCTGCTCTGGCCTCGCCGAGGGGCGGCGATCTTGACTGCCGGCAGCGCCGCACTCCAGGGCCTCCGCGCAGGCTCAAGGCCCGGCTCTTTCCAAGGGCCCAATAAGTCACAGTGGATCTCATTGACATTCTTCACGGCCTTTGCTCTAACCTCGCTTCACCTGGTGACGTCCTTTCTGAGGCTAAGGCCGTGTGCCCTTGCCTTTGGGAAATGGCCAGGGCTTGGCCTGCTCCCCGCTGCGGCCGGCCTCACCGTCCTCCCAGCACTCGGGGTCCCCAGTGTCTCCCGGCCAGGCAGGAGCTCAGCTCTGCGGAGCACACCTCCCGAGCGTGAACCTCTGCAGGCTCTTCCTCTGCCCACCTCGCCTTGGTCCTGCCCCTCACGACCCTCGCCTCTGCGACTGCCACAGCTTCCTGCATGACCTCCCTGTATCTGGCCACTCACATTTCCAGAACATTCTCTGAACTTCTGCCACAGTCACCTTTCTGAGCCATGGAGCACTGCTGCCATGGGGAGTGGCCTGTACACTGAGGCCGGCCTGCTCCAGGGCATGTGAGAGGGCCCCATCTGGCCCAGTGGCCAAGGGGACCCCAGGCTGTTGGCCGCAGTGCCAATCCCAGTGCCTCATGTCCCCCGGGCACTGCGTGTCATGTCATGTCAGTGTCCCTCTGTGCCTCTCCCAGGGCACCCACCTCACCCTGGGCCCACTGTCCACTCAGGGTCTCAACTCACACTTTCTCAGCAGTAAAAGGGATGAGACTCGCAGTAATTGTGCTGAGTGAAAGAATCCACGTGAAGAAGAGTCCGTGCTGTGTGGAACCATTTGTCTAAAAGTCACTCTCGACAATGCAGACTTTATAGTGACAGAGGCACGTCAGTGGTTGCCTAGCAGGGGTTGCCAAGGGCATGAGGATACTCTGCACATTTAAAATATGTATATTTCAGTGCGTGTCAGCGACCCCTCAGCACAGCACAGCCTCGTCCGGCCAGATGGCCGATGTAAGAATCTCTTGAGGTGGACAACTTTGCAAGCTCCCCAGCAATCCCAGCGCGCAGTCAGGCGGCGAACCACAGGGGGTGCCCCGCCCTGCCCCTCCCCCGCCCTGGCACCCACCCTCCGGCAGAGTGTGGCAGGTGTGCGGGCCAGGTGGGACCAGCCCCAGAGCCACCCATACCTGCTCCCGCAGGGGTGGTGACGTCCTCAGACCCTGCCTCAGAGAAGACAGCGATGAGAGCACTGAGCTGTGCAGTCTGGATCTTAGGAAAACAGATGCCATGGGCACAGAAAGCAGTGGGACAGTCCCATGAACACAGACTCTGGGGGAAGAACGGCTCAGGGAGACCTGCAGCCGGGCCGGCCTGCCACAGCTGGTCTCCATCAGGGCTCCTGACGCCTGAGGCTGTGGCGGACGGAAGCGGGTCTTCCTGCTAGCAAGGCTGAGGAGGCCCAGGCGGGCCAGGCCTGTCCCAGCAGCAGGAGGCGCCCCGCTCTCCTCTCTGCCACAGCCCTGCAGGCCGCTGGCGCCAGGGCTCCGCTGGTCAGCGCTCGGTGGACGCTTTCACCCGAGAGTGGAAGGAGCCGGGCCCCAGCTTGCCCAGTCTGTTGGGACTGCTGTAACAAAGCATGTCAGGCTGGGCAGTTATGAACGGCGGGAGCGCGCTGCTTATGGTTCTGGAGGCTGTGAAGTCCGAGATCAAGGCACCCACAGGTTCCGCCTGGTGAGGGAGGCTCTCTGCTTCAGAGACAGTGCCACTGGATCCACCTCACGTGGTGGAAGAGCAAGGGTCTCTCTTGGGCCTCTTGTCTAAGGGCACTAATCCCGGCCACCAAGGCAGAGCCCTCATGACCTAATCACCCACCAAAGGCTCCACCTCCATACCAAGCATTGCAGATTAGGATTCAGCATGTGAATTTTGGAGGGACACACACAGTCAGATAATAACACCACCAAAGAAAAGTTTATCACAGCTCTAACTATTAAAAGTTAAATGATTTAGGAGAAGAGGAGGGGAATAAATATTACATTTTCGTTTTTGCCTTGCCATACATGTATTTTATTGCTATGTATATACAACAGTCCAACTTTGTAATTCCTTCTGTGTCTGCATAGAGTTCTGTATTTGTTTCAAGTTGCTTAAATAAAATTTGTGATTTCCACAGCAACCCCAGATGCAGGAGAAGATCCCAAAGTTACAAGAGCCAAGTTCTTCATCCGGGATCTGTTTTTGGTAAGCAGTTTTGTTAACCTTTGTTTTCCTACCCCCTTAGAGTTGTATTATCCTGTGCAATTTACAAATTACTTACCCTTTGTAAGTAATTTGATCTCATTTAATCTTCCCCCAAATTATGAGTGATAAGAGGAGGTGTGGTATCTTCATTTCACAGCTGAACACACCGAAATGCAGAGAGGTTGGATTTCTCACCTGGGTCACATAGCTTCTGAAGACCCTGGTGAGAACATGGCCCCTGGGGAAGGGCACTTAGGTGGCTAGACCTTGTTCTATTTTCCAAAAAGGACAGAGACCTTCACCAGAATATAGAACATTATAGAATATAGAGCATAGAACAAGCATTCATATTCTTCCATCTAAAAGCACTAACTGGCTAAAGGTTCATGTAAAAATGGACCTGCTCAAATTCATACATTTCCTTTTATTTTCTTTCAGCTTATTTTGAGATTTCAAACTTCCATGCAAAGTGAAGGAATTGTACAAGTAACTCCCATATACTCTTCACCCAAATTGGCCATTTGATAAAGTGTTGCCACATTTACTCTATCTGTTTATCTATCAGTATTTTTTTCTTTCGAATAACCTACAGGGTGTAGCTGACTATGAGTTTTTACTAGCTTGGAATCAGTAAATGCCAAGACATTCCCAAGGGCATTTAACCCATATCCAGGGACTGTTTACTTCTGGGGAAGTGGGGATCTGAGCCCCGGAATGGTCCACAGTGGGGGCTTTCCAAGGAGAGCAGACCCCCAGCCCGGCCTTTCTCTGCCCCCTAGCACCCATGCGCGTGGAAAGTGAGGGTGATAAAAAGTCAAGTCCCCAGAGGGAGTTCAGAGGAACAAGAGTTCCCCAAGAAGTGAGCAGGTGGCACCGGGAGATCTTCTGCAGCGACACATGCAGGCCGTGCCGTGTTAAGTGCAGCGAGGCGGGTTCCTGTGCGGTGGCCGTCCCCCAGCCCTCGCCAAGCTGACAAGCACTGCCCATCTCTTCAGTGACAGACTTCAGTCGCAGATCCAGGGATCCCTTTTTTCAGGAGCCTCTCATAAGACCATAGAGTTTTCATAAAGACTCATAAAAAGTGTTCCATAAAATGCTCTTCCAATGAGAACTAAAAGGTAATTAGGTGTGCAAATGTTGGGCATTTAGATGAGTATCAGGAAGGCATTTACACCCTCCCCAAAATTAGTGGGCACATCACCACCATTCAGGACTTGGACAAAACCTTTATTCTCTGACAGTGGATGAAACCTAGCTTTTATGCAACTTGCAGATCAGGAAAATAGAGGTGTGGGAGGTATTCACTTGCATTTTGAATCATAGAATGTGCCTGGAGCAATGAGTCCTGAGCTGGGATCTGTAACTGCAGCAGCTGCAGGCAGACTGCAGAATCAGTTCCTTATCAGGATTTCATCTGGACAGGAGCTTGTCTTGGGTGAAACAGTAACTCCAGCACCATGGGCCCAGGGGGAGACAGGGATAAAGGTCATCAGGAGAGGGAGGTATGGAGAGGACACTGTCCTTCGAGGAAGCGACAACGGCGCGTTTGGGCAAAGAAGGGTGATCGCGTAGTGAGAACAGGCCACCTGCTCTTGAACATTCTTCTTATGTTCACGGTACAGTCCTTGCCTAAGGAGGGACTGACCACCAGGCTCTGTCCTAGACAAGGCCTCTTCCTCCCCAGTGGGCTGTGGGGGCTGGTGATGAACCACCCCAGAGGCAGGAGGAACCTAGAACCGGGGAAGCCAGGAGTGGGAGAGCCAGGTGGTCAGCCCAGTGTCCCGCCAGCTGCAGAGAACAGCTCTGTCCCTGCCGCTGCCTGCTCCGACAGCCGCACTTAGTGTTCTGTTTCCTCCGTGGTCTGCCTGGTATTTTATAAACTCGCCTGAGATTTTTTAAACCTTGAATGCCATCTCCTACGAGGCCTGGAGGCTGAGCAGAGAGCCTGGGACTGCCCAGTCTTCTTGGGCAGTTATTTCCATCATTTCCTGCACTTATTTCTATCATTTTTAATGAAAATCAGTGGGTGAATCAGGTCCATGGAGGGAGTAAACTGTTTGAAGTCTGCAGATTGCAAGGGGCCTCTGCCACAGCTCCATTCCCTGAGCTGCCGCTGCCCCGGGGACAGAGCAGTCAGATCATTACAGAAGCAGGGCGTTTCCGCTCACTCACCACACCTACTGTGTGTTCCCGATCCCTCACCTGGTGCTTGAGGATTAAAAAGATACATGACCTACTCACTTCAGTGTCCGTAAGTTTAAAAATGGAAAAGACAAGCTCAGGAGCTCTGTCCCCTGGGGGCCTGCTCAGTGGCCTTTCCCGCGCAGGTCTCCGGAGGCTGCGGGGATGCTGGTGGGAGGGCGGCGGGGCAGCCCAGGGCCGGGCTCTACCCGGCCTCCGCCCGAAGGCTGGGCGCCGCCACGGGCTCCACGGGCCCAGCAGCCTCAGCCCCAGGACGTCTCCTCAGTTCTGGAGGCCGGCGCCTGGCCCACGCCCCTGCGCGCCTCCCTGCCCGTCTCCTCTTAGGGGGGCACCAGTCAGATGGGGCCAGGGCCCACCCCATGACCTCATTTTTACCTGGAGGACTTCTTTAAAGTCCTGTCCGCAAACACAGCCATAGCCGAGGCGCTGGGTCAGTCTCCAGCACATCAATTTGGGGGACCAGTTGCGCGGCAAGGCCTCTCTCCGCGCCTCACCCCACGCACCTCACTCTCAGACGTCCTCACGGATTAGCCGCTGACCTTAACCCCGGGCTTCCCAGAGTGCAGTGACAGCACCTTCCCGCAGACCACCCTCCAGCACGCCCTGCTGGCCAGGGCGCCCCTCGGCAAAGCGGTTCGCCGGTGCGCCACAGGCACGCTGTCCCAGAACCACTGGTCACGTGGACATTACATTTAAATTAATTAAAACTTAATGAATTAGAAACCAGTCTCCGGGTCCGCTAGTAATAGTGGCTGCTGTGCTGACGGGGCACATAGAGGACAGCTCCATTTCTGCGGAAAGTTCTGTCGCCCAGCTGGGGCTCAGGCCCGGGTGTCAGGAAGCTCTCCCCTGCCTGCCCTGCCAGGGCCCGTCTGCCCTGTCCGCGCCCGCGCAGGGCCAGCCTCCTGCGGACGACAGGCTGGGGCCCCGTGCTGGGTGCCCTGGGGCCCCGTGCTGGGTGCCGGGCGGCTCCTGCGGGGGCGGGCAGCCAGGGACAGACCCGGCTGCCTGCGCCGAGCCGCCTCGGCCTGCGCCGGGCTAGCGCGCATTCTGTCTTGCAGAGGATCAGCACGGCCACAGGCGACGGCAAACACTACTGCTACCCTCACTTCACCTGCGCCGTGGACACGGAGAACATCCGCAGGGTGTTCAACGACTGCCGCGACATCATCCAGCGGATGCACCTCAAACAGTACGAACTCTTGTGAGGACGCCCTCCTCCTGCGGCCGCCCTGCCCGCCACAGGCCCGTCTCCGCCGGACTGCTTGTCCGCCAGCCCCAGCCATGGTAGGAGGTAGTGCGTGTCCAGTTCCATCTCGCTGCCGTCTGTCCTGCTCCGCGTCTGCCCCGTGGGTGACCCCCAAGCCTCTGGCTACCTCTGCCCGCCCCCACCCCGTTTGGTTTCGCAGCTTGTTTTCATTGAACACAACCTTCTGCAGCGCCCCCACCGTCAACTCCTACTCGGTGGCACTGCAGAGAAATCCCTGTGGGTCAGGGCCCTTCATTCATTCATTCATTCATTCATTGAATCATTGAGAACTCAGCAGCTGGGGAGAAAATGCATTTTTTCCGGGTTACCAAACATGGCTGCAAAAGTGTGTGCCGGGCAGTGAACCACAGCCCTTTCCGATTTCCCTCTGAAGCTGCAGGCTGGCAAGGGACTATTCCTTCTGGTCTGCCTCAGCCTAGTATGCAGAATACATGCCAAGCAACGTGACAAGAAACCCTTCATAGTTAGAGACGCTGCCAGCCTCAGGCATTTGGATCAGAGCTACTTCGAGCTACTTCACATTTAGGCAGAAAAACTACTGCAAAATGTGGCCTGTCTAAAAATGGTTCTCTCAACTTCCCCAGTCCCTTGGGCATAGGCTTGTTCCGTAGACTTTCTGTGCTGTTGTTTCATTGCTGGTTTATTATACTGTACAGACCACAAAATGTAACATTCTTTTGTAGAACTACTAAAGAAAAATCCTTGTAGATCTTTGTGCCTTGATCCTGGCTATACCTGTACAAGAAACGTGTTTTCATTGTGCTGAATAGCTTAATGTCGACATTTCCTGCCACTCACTCTGAAAAAGAGAACAAATGATATCCGTAGAATTCAGGATATTTTATCAGGTTGGTACTTTATAAAAGACTCCCTGATTTAAAAAAAAAAAAAAAAGCTGTACGTTATAGGCATTAATAATCCACATCTTACCAACAACGTTGTACCAACTTGGCGAGTTGCCGCAGCCTCCTGCTGGCCCTTCTCGGAGCCTCAGCTGTCAAACATGAACTCAGTTCAAGGTACAAATTTCAATCGAATCTTCTTTCAGGGAACCAGAAGTTTTTTTTTTCTCTCCAAACACTATTTTTCTTGATTATTTTGCTCGTTAAAGACTTCTCAGTAACTCCCTTAAGTCAAAGCTTTGGACACAGGCTCCCTCACACAAGTAAACAAACAGCAAGAGAAAAACAAAGCGGTATCAAACGTTTGTGTGTGGCCTAGGAGAATAAGGATGGCATCTCCATTTGTATTTTGAAGAAGAAATATTACAAAACCTTTTTTTGAAATATAAAGTCAAAATACACGGCTCTTTCGCACATTTGCAAGATTTGCAAATGCAACCTTGAATGTTGTGTTACACAAACAATATCTACAAAGTAAAAATTGCTGTAGCAATGACACTTTATAGATTGACTACTGTAGCCACAGTTTTGAGGGTAGTTTGCATAGGTCCAGATAATCTGTAAAAATGTCCAAAGTTAAGTTTTCAACAGTACAAATCCAGCGAAATGAAGCCTACATTACTACTTTAATTCTCTTTTAGTTTTTGGTCTGATATTTAGAAGTTTACTCTGTAAATAAGCACATTATAATCCTTTATGAACTCATCCAGATTTAAGTGCTGCTTTCTCATGAAAGGAAGGATGACAACTTTGTCGACAGTCTGTGCAACAAACATCTTACCTCGCTATCATCATCCTCCTGCCCCCACCAACTGCCTCATAAAACTCTGCTGAACTGAGACATATGAAATGGAAATTATTTTCAGTTCCCTTGTACTTTCAAAGTAAAACATGAAGAGAATTGAAGAGATACATGCCCCAAAAAAGTGAAGTATATTGTTGTGTGCATTATTACTCAGCCATTCCCCTCAAACTAAATGTCCTATTTAAAGGTTTGATTCAAAAAACAAGCCATACTGTTAGGCAAAAACCAAAAAGAACACATTTTATCTGGCTTAAAATTATCAAAACGTTTATTTTCAAATACCAAAAGCCATATCCTCCTCCATTTTTTAAGTTTCTTTTGATCACTGAATGCATAAATACAGATCTAACAACATGGTCTCCTATAGAGAAAATTACTTATCTAAAAACCTGATTCCATTAATTTAGCACAGAATTAAAAAAGTCTATAAAAACACTATGTTCCTGTACATTGCACCTGTACTTTTATTTTAAGGATATGGCTTTATACTATACAGGAATTTGAGAGCCACCTCATAGGCAGACAGAAGCAAACCCAGTGTTTGTGTACACACCCCCCCCAAGTGTGTGTTGGGGCTTCCAGGCCCTTCCTGGGGAAGCAAGGACTACGTTGTGCATGCAAGCGACAGTGTTAGCAGCATTTGTATCCTGTACAGATGCAACCTTTGATGATCCATATATTTGATAAAAATGAGAAAGCTGATTTGTTGTAGAGTACACGTTCCATTTTTATAGCATGAGAACAGTACAATCAACTATTCTGCAGTAACTCACATCAGTGATTTAGAGTCTCTGTAATGTCCACACTGACAGCCTACACGTGGGTCTGGTCCACTCCACTCTTCGAGCTCTGCCTGAACTTCCATTTCTTGGGCTTCAGGATTTATTCCTAAGTGCAGACGTCACCTGCTCTTCACATTGTCCTAGGCTTTCTGAGCAGGTTCCAACCAAAAGGAAAAGGTGAGGCTAACAGCTCAAAGTGAGCAAATATGAGGACCGCAAGGAACACAGCTGCTCCGCAGTAGGTGGCCAGAACCATGTCCTCACGTGGGAGGTAGCACTTGTAGAGAGCATGACTTGTGGCTGTTATGCTGCCCTGGAAAGGAAAAGGGGACATCATGCTGCAGTGAGCACACAGATATGGCCTGATCACGACAGCCCAACTTAGAAACAGGAGGACAGGCCACCTTCTTGGGTTATGTTGGGTGAGGCAGGGAAGTGGCCCTCCTTCAGCCCACACAAGTCACCGCTCACCACCACAGACCCTGGCAAAAGTGTGCTTGGGCAGAGCAGGCCCGAGACACTGGCCTTTGTTACAGCCTGCTCTGGGCCCACTGGGTCCCGTCAGATGTGGTGTGGGGGGAGGGGCATCTGTGACAGAGATGCAGAGAGGCACCAAGGAGATCAGTGGTCATGGTTGGTGAGGAACAAAGAATTCAAGGGTGTCTTCAAGGCACTCGATACCGAAATAAGCAATCTGCTACCTAGAAATACATATGTCCAGGTCGCCTCCATGGGTTATTCTTCATAGACATTTTCGTTATGTGGAATGACAGTAGCAAATGTTTTCATCTACTTTAAATCTGAAAACATTAGGGTCTCCCCACATTTTTAGGAAGCAGAAGTACCTGATGGAAAAGCATTATGAACGGATGCGGGAACCCATGGCTAAAGGCAGGCACGAAAATGTCAAGTGGCCATTAATGAAACATCTTTAATCAACTTGCAAAAGCTGTAGCATTTTCTGCCAGAGCAAAGGGGCACGTTTGAAAATAAGAGAAGACAGAAGAGTATAGCTAATGAACAAATGATTTTCTGTTTCCTTAGACGGTTACACACACAGAGCAGGGTCACAGGACACTGCCCGGGGAGGGGAGGGGAAACCTGCTCTTAAGACGCCCTCCCCTGTGTCAGTGCCCAGGAATAACATCGTAGAAAGGTGTTCAGAGAGGGGCAGTTGTAGAACTAAGTGTAAAGGGAGGGACACTGATTTATGACTTTTGTATATTTCTGAAGATTGCAGCGATTAAATAGTTGATTACTGTGTTGATTTAAATACTTATGAAAGCTTTCAGACAAAAATAAACTTTCATGTTACCATGATGAAACTCGGGTTGTTTCTGTTCCTCCAACTGAAAGACGGGACGCTGAGCTCCGGGGGGCCTCCGGCGTGCAGCACCTCGCAGCCGCTGTGCGTGTGGCCGCTCAAGACCAGGCGCGGCCGCAGCCACCACAGCAGCTGCCGGCCCAGGAGACACAAGGCAGGCTGTTAGCATGAGACTGCACTGCATTCAATTCGATCCTAAATCCGTTTGCATGACCGCTTTACCTTTTCCCTTAAAAATCCCTTTCGTTTGTTTATACTAAATCAAAGGTAGCGTTGGCCTCTCAGAGAGAAGCTACTCTTCTCAGCCCAGATTTTATATATTTTTATATTTATAAAAATATTTTTATAAATATTTGTATAAATTTATTTTATATTCATATTTTATGATATATAAGTGTAATCTATATTATATAAATATACATAACACATTTTAATTAAGGCCCAAAGATTAGACTCTAAGCTCCATTCACATTTCCAAATACATATGTGTTGGTGAAAGCAAACTCTGAACACACAGAATAGCAGAGAACACTACTGACTCGAGATCAGGACACAAGTAGGTTCAGTGCGGGGGAAAGAACAAGCAGTTAACTGAGCACGGGACACGGTGGCTGCTGGAAAGGCCATGGCCCCGTGCACGCCGGCCCTATCCCGCACCCACCACCCCTCATGGTGCAGCTGACAGTCACACTGTGACCGAAGTCACATCACAGCACCCTGCTGGCAAACCTTTTGTGAAGCCTCCCGAGAAAGCACGTCATATCGCTCCTGAAATGGGGTGCTCCTTTCGTCTGGAGGGGCAGCGTCTTCCCCGGAACAATTCGAGTCGCTTCTCCGATAGAGTGGGTAGTGCTGGGCGGGGTGGAAAGAGGAGCTGGCTGGGCCCAGAGCCCTGGGCCGCCAAGCCCGCGGGCCTGTCCCTGCTCACCTGCAGGAGGACGGGGGCAGACGCGGGCAGCGGCCGCCCGGCTCCACACTGGCGAGAAGCAGGACCCTGCTGGGCAGAAGTCAGGACGTTAATCCCACAAACCTGTCACCCACCAGATGGCAGCAAGGGCAGGGGGCTGGGTGATGAACAAAAATGAAAGAGTGGAGCAGAAGCGGCATCCAGCGACTCCTACCTCCCAGGAGCAGTTCAGTCTGTGGGAAATTGCAAGCAGCTCTGCCTCTTCTTTGGAGCAGAGGGTGCAACGGTCACCTTCCATCGTCACACTGTTGACCATCACGAAACTGAGGCAGACGGGAGCCAGCAGAAGTCAGGGCCACCTGGGGACATGTGTTTCCTTTCCTCATGTCCCCATGGAAAGAAGACTAAGTTTCCACAGTGTGAAGAAACAAGCGAGAACACCTTTCAGTCCCAGCTAGACTAACTGTGTGTTTTTAAGTATGAGTCCATTTTAACAGAAATAGCACTGCTGGGAGTTGGAGTCCCAGACACGGGAAAAGGTCTTAACCCTAAGCCTGTGAGAAGTCCAGTTACAGAGCCTGGGGTCAGACGGCCTCTGAATCGCGTCTGACAGAGCCTCGCCTGCAGCGCAAAGGCGGGTGTGAGGGTTAAGTGAAATGACACAGCAGGTGCTTAGAGCAGTGCCTGCCACCAGAAAGGACTCAGCAGGTGTCAGATATTGCTACGTTATCTAAGTTACACAGCATGACGGACAGAGAACACTCGGTAACACAGGCACACTCCGCAAGGAGGGCAGTGGCAGGGCGCTGAGTAGAGCTGCCCAGGTACGGATAATCGCAGACCAGGATAACCACCACGTCAGCTATGGTTAGCCTCTGCCACCACCTTGCCTTAGCTGTATGTTTATAGACTCGCACTAACTATGCTTTTACTGCCTATGCACATACCTCCTGGGCATGAAGAAGGTATCGGTCAGTAAAGACTGCTTGCAATTTAACCAATTTTAGAGAGAAAGAGCTGAGTTATCAAATGCTCAGAAATATGAAAAGCATATTTAAGGTTTCTTAAACACTGTGTATAGGCGGAGATTCCTCAAACTGTGTTGTCTTTTATGACTCGGGAAAGGAGCCACCTGCTAGAGCCTGCGCCCCCTACGTAGAGGGAGGGAATGTAAGCATTTGTAGAAAACCTGCTGGACAGAGGTGACCTCTCCACCAGCCGGTGAGCTTGGTAGCCACTAAAAGGACCGGAGGAACAGGAAAGGCCCTCTCTCTACTCCGTCTCTGCCGTGTCCAACGCACAGACCGGAAGACTCCCGGGGTGGGCGCTGCAGCCGCCCAGCCGAGAGATCTGATGCAGCGAGGCGGGCTGGGGCTGGGACACTGGTCGGAAGGTCAGGGTGGGCACAGAGCTGCAGACGCACCACAGACACACTGGCCACCAAGTTCCAGGACACCATGACTAGCGAACAGCCTTTACAACGTGAAATAAGTAACTTCTTATCAAATAAAAACGACTCCTTTACACAGTGGGCTGATGGAACATACGCCACCCAGAGACAGTGCAGAAAGAATATCGTTCCTGCAGGGCTGGGCAGAGTCACAGACTGACTGAGTCTCGGTGCTTGTCACAGAAAACCAGGTCTGAGGTTTCCCACCCGTCAGCTCCCATGGTGCCACCAGTGAGGACAGCCTGAGGCGCCGTTGAGCAGAAATCATAACTGGAAACATAGACCCAATACGGCAGTCACCTCTAAAAACGGGGTTTCCAAGGACTAAAGGTCTGTATAAGATTTTATAAATAATACTCACTTAACACCTTTCCAAGAAAACAACCTTTCAGGATTGAAAACTTTCTTGAACCGCTTGACTTTGTATGTGGTCATCCTAAATTCAATTGCAAGAAACATTTTTCAGGAAAAGCCATTTTAGAACTCCCAGAGTTATCATGAACACAGAAACTGACTTTCAGAATGTAAATTTCAGATCAGCATGACCAGTTTGTGGCTCCAGCTGGCCCCAAGCTCTCCAAGTTCCAATCTCAGCTCTACCAGTTAATTACTACGGGCCTGGAGTAGGTTACTGCGCTCCCCAGGGCCTCAGTTTCCCATTGGTACGATAGGAAAATACAAGGACCATGGTAAAGATTAAAAGAGTTAATATAGGGAAGTAAAGTACTTCACACAGGCTGACACATTATAAGCACAATAGCACTGTATAAATGTTAGCTACTGAAAGTCTGAATAGGCTGCATGGTGGCTCCTGCTATAATCCTAGCACTCTGGGAGGCCGAGGCGGGAGCTCAGCTTGAGGCTGCAGTGAGCTATGATGACACCACTGCACTATACCTGGGGTGACAGAGCAAGACTCTGTCTCAAAAAAAAAAAGTCTGAATGGTCTTGTTTTCTTGATTCCTAAAGAAAATAATTGGCCATTAAATCAATATTTCCCAAAAGCACATATAATTCATTCATTCAACAGATGCTTGTTGAGGGTATACTATGCGCCAAGATAAAAATAACTTAGGGAACTTACATTCCAGAGCTTATATCTTTTGAGGAAAACAAATTTCCTCAACACAGCACAAATAAGGTTTTCACCAGAATTTTAGGTTTAAAATTACAGTTGGCACACAGGGAGAATGCCACGTGGCAATGAAGGCAGAGGCCATGCTGGTCAGCCAGGAAACCACCAGAGCTGGGAGAGAGGCACAGAACAGATTCTGCTTCACAGCCCTCAGAAGGAACCCACCCTGCTGACACCTTCGTCTTAAACTTCAAGCCTATAGAACTGTGAGATAATAAATTTCTGTTGTTTAAGTCCCAAAATAAATAATAAATAAATAAATAAATAAAATTATAGTCAACAAGAGCTCTCAGGGTTATGCTTTAGTGAGTTACTTACTCATAATGGAAGCCAATATCATGGTTGCCAACAACTACCTTCAGCTGCACATGACTTGGGTGTCTGAACATTTTCTGGAACCGTTCCACATCATCTGCCCAGGCCTGAGAAAAAAGGATCACTGCTGAGAGCCAGAGAACCCTCTCCTCCCCCTGGCTAAAAAACATGATCCCTATTTTGATGTGAGAGGTTAATTCCCCTCTCAAAGCAGATGCCCATAAAGCTAATGTAGAAATTTGAATTTTTCATTTTTCATTCTGTAACACTTCTTTTTCAGTTAATACCTTACATTATTTAATGTGATGTCTGTTAGGTTTGTTGCAGGTGAAAACCCCAAAATATAAAGCCTGTGAAACACAAGCCTCAGGGGTCTGGAGAGTCCAAGGTCATAAATCCAACTTTGACCACAGACAGCTGCAGCGATGCTGGCCTTCCTATCCCCTCCCCTGTCTCTGCAGGTGTTGCTCGCTCCCCCAAGACCAGAAACCCTCTGTAAAACCCAAGGCTCTCCCCTCCCTCAGGGTGGACGCTTTTTGGCCTGCACCCAGATGCCCAAAATAAACAGCATTTTTCTACTCATGAGAATTTGTGTCTCTCTCGGCTCTGGACCTAACAATGCCAAATTTCAATTAAATGGAATCCTCCCCCATCTTAAAACAACTGGCAATTCCCAAAAGTATCTAGTTCATAGGCTTATATTTCAAGATGCCTGAAGACCCCATGGAGCCCAGGTTGAGAATTGCTTAGATCTGTGCATCTTATAAGAACAGGCCCTTAGAAAATGTCAAGTAAATTCTTCATGTGTCTCAACCAAGACAAGGGTGAGAAGGCCCTTCAAAATCAACATTCCCCTGTGGCTGTGGCAATGAGAACTAATGAGATGTGTGTGACAAAAAATGTATTATAATTAATATTAAAAAATTATCCTGATATTTGCTTTAACTATTAAGGCTTCAGAGTTATGTTAGTATAGTTCTTATTTTTATAAGCCTAAAAATACCAATTGGACAAACACCCTAGGGTGCGTAAAAATAAATAAATAAATAAAAGTGAAAAGACCTCTATTCTGGATAGTAATAGACTATATCCTAAAAGTTTTAAATATGGCACAACCTAGGGAAATATACTGGATAGAGTCCTTCAATACAAAGATTCCACTTTAACAAAAATATTTAAAGTTAGAATAACATAAAATCAACAAAACAAACTTAGAAAAACATAAAATGTTGCCCTTAATTTGAAAAAGTAACATATATATCCAACTTCATCTTATAACTAGTTGCTTTTTACATATAACATTTTCATTCTCTCATTTAATTATAGCCTGGATTACAACAAACATTGCAACTCTGTAAACAGTGAGTTGCTATTAAACCCGAACCAAGATTTTCTATGTACAGCTACTGGATTGTCCTGGGAAATGCCAATGAGTTTTTAAAAAATATCTCCCAAATAAAATTCCTTCAAAAAACCATTAAGGACTGAACATTTTTAAGTAAGCAACAAGAACACCTTTTTTTCCCCATTCATTCCAAGAATGTAGTAAGCAAAGCATGGAGAAGCTTCGGTAAGGACACCTTTTCTTCGCTTTGCGGAAAGGCTTACATCACCCAACTTGAAGGCAGGGGTCTCGGCCCAGAGGCGAGGCGGAGGAACCTGACACCAAGTCCCCACGGCTCCCGCACCTCTCACTCAGAAAATCAGAGGCCAGCAGCAAGCAACGTTGGCAGCACAGCCCTCACAGTGCAGTGGGGAATAACAGAACGTGAAGTTAAATGCACATTCCAGCAAGTGACAGCTGAAATAGCATCCATCTTGCCTGTTTTCCCTTTCCCAAGAGGTTCACAGAGCAGTACACTCTAACAAAATGATGTCTGGCTAATCCACGCATTCCCTACATAGACAAACATAAGATTAGCTGACCTAACTCAAGATGAACATTACACAAATCCTAAGAATCTTCAAGATGACTATACATCTTTAACTTCAATACAAAGCCAAACTTCCAACGTGAGCCAGCAATGCTTCATGGATCCTCTGGGCTACTTGTGTTGGATGCTCAGAGAAGGATTGAGGGGTCTGAACTGCAAGACCCTACCTGGGGAGAGCTCCACTTCCCTTCATCAAAGACATCTCCCAGAATGAAGACAACATCCGGCTTCAACAACCACAGGGCTGTCTGGAAGGCTCTCTCCATTTGCCACTCCCTGGGGAACAGCAGGAAAAAGCAGGGCATCAGTCTCTTTCCTGCCCATTCTCCTGGTGACCCTGCTCTTGCATTCCCACCCTCTGCTTGGAGGGGCCAATGAATCTATATCTGATTAAATGCAGGGAATTAAGGTGCCAAAGGGGCTACCCTCCCACCTACCTAACACAGACTTCCACCACGTAATGTCAAGTTCTGGCCCCACACCGCACCCTGAAGCCACCTCAGTCAAGAGAGTCCTAGGGATCTAAGAGCCTGATGCAACTTCCAGAGGTGCCTAATTTAGACCGATTTTGTACCATGCTGAGGAAATGATAGCATCTGGCTTAAAATTCTCTGCTTAAAGGGACCTCAGCTTCCTTCTTTGCTTTAGAATGTAGGGAAGACAGTGAGAGAAACAGACTAGCCAATATCCAAACAGTAGACCCTGCAGATCTCAGACATGCAGTAATCATCCCAGAGGTCAGACAAGCAAACGAAAAGAGCCTAGGATCAGCAATCTCATAGGCAATGGCTTCAAATCCCAGGTCTGTCCATTGACGAGCTGTGTGACCTTGAGAATATTACCTACCCTCTCTTCGTCCCAGTTTCTTCATTAGTAAATGTAGATTTTTTTTTTTTTTTTTGAGACAGAGTCTCGCTTTGTTGCTCAGGCTAGAGTGAGTGTCGTGGCGTCAGCCTAGCTCACAGCAACCTAAAACTCCTGGGCTCAAGCAATCCTCCTGCCTCAGCCTCCCGAGTAGCTGGGACTACAGACATGTGCCACCATGACCGGCTAATTTTTTATCTAAATATTAGTTGGCTAATTAATTTCTTTCTATTTTTATAGTAGAGACGGGATCTCATTCAGGCTGGTTTTGAACTCCTGACCTTAAGCAATCCGCCTGCCTCGGCCTCCCAGAGTGCTAGGATTCCAGGCGTGAGCCACTGCGCCCGGCCTAGTAAATGGAGATTTAAAAAAAAAAAAAAAAAAAACCTACTTGCATAGGATAGTTGTAGGATTAACTAAGATAATGTTTATAAAGATTGCAGCACAGCACAAGCACACAGTAGGTGCTCAAAAATGTCAATGTGTGCTCAGCCTCCCTCCCTTCTCTCTAAGCAGCTCCAGCCTGTGTCATTTCCCTAGGGATCCCGAACCCTCCTGTGCTCGGATGTACTAACACAAACAGGGAAGGCGCTTCTCGGGCAGAGGAAGCTCTCCAGACCCCAGCAAGCCGCTGCAGACCCACATCACCACTTAATGGCTTTCCACTCAACAAAACTCTCAAAATACATTTCTCGGTTTTCCTTGATTTAAGGCTATTCTCCCTGGAGAAGAATGAAGCAGACACGCAGCAGCGGGCAGGGAGGGTCTGTAAGGCCTGGACCAGGATCGCCCTGGTTTAAAACTCTTAGTAAAAGGCCTGGCATCCCCTCCCTGCTTCCTTCTTTCTTCCCACCTCCCTCCCCCACCCCTGGGGACAGTACACGTCCCACCCCCCAACATCAGGTTCATCATGTCGCCTCACTCTGAGGACAACGCCTCTCACAAAATAAAGACAGGTTCAGAGGCACAGTGCAGCCATGCTAAGGAAAAGGGGTCAGGGGTCAGGGTCAGCAGGGGCGAGGAGAGGAGAGCAAACGGCCCCGCTGGAAGCCCAGAGGGGAGGGGACCCGCGTGCGCACCCACAAGTGAGCAGGTAGGGGAGCGGCTCCTGCCTACAAGGGGACTGACTGGCCTAGGAAGGCAGGAGTCCTGCCGCAGGCACCGCCTGGCCTGGAGGACGCTGCACGTGAGGAATGGGCAGGTCACAGAAGGACAAATACTGCCTGATCCCACCTAGATGAGGGCCCAGAGGAGTCAAAGTCACAGAGACAGCAAGTAGAATGGTGGGTGCCAGAGCCTGGGGGGTGGGGGAGAACGAGAAGTGGGTGTTTAATGGGCGTAGAGGTTCGGTTTGGGAAGATAAGAAAGTTCTGGACATGGATGGTGGTGACGGCTGCACAAGGTGAGTGTGCTTACTGCCCCTGAACTGCACACTTGAAAATGACTAAGATGACGAACTTTACATTATGTGCATTTTACCGCAATCAAAAATAATTAACTTGTCCAAAAATGAAACATGAAAAAAAATAATTAAAAAACAAGAAACCTTTTTGCTGGGAAAACAGATGGACCACACCGGGGCTGGTCTGAGTTGGAGACACAGGACCTGACCCCACCCCAGGGAGACAGCTGCAAATCTACTCTGCCCCTATACTGCCCAGAGGAGGGTAATAACCCAAAAAGCTTAAAATTACACACCAGCAAAGCTGAGAGGGGCCCAGGAACCCAGGCCTGTGTCCTCCCCCGGGGGCCACTCCCAGGTGCTAGGCATCACATGGCACCTTCACACGCCTGTGAGGCTTCCTCTCTTAACCTAGTCACAAGCAAGGAGATGGGCTTGGACGGGCCCTAGTAACTTTTCAAAATCACAAAACTAATCAGGAGCCCAGATCTGACTCCCAAATTATGGGGCCCTGTATATATGTTCAGTAAATAGTAAGTTCAAGGAAAACTCAAATGCCTACAAATGTCCTTCTTTGAGCAGAAAATAACTAAGAATTACCTAAACCCATTAAGCCTGAACTGTGGGAAGAGGGCTATACCTTTTTGCCTGTAGAATTTCAAAAGGATTCCTGATTTTACTTCTTACCTTCGTAATTTGTCTAGCCAGTGGCCTCTGATTTCCCCAAGCAAGTGGGTGTCTGCCAAAAACATAGCTTTCAGCACAGGCTCAAACGTCGTTTGTTTACCATCATAGGTTGGAGTGTTCACCTCAGGCCAATCACACCGAAAGATCACTAAGTAATAGACTAAAAATTCACAAAATAGAAGCACAGCAAAGACAACAGCTATGAGTTTCAATAGCAATGAACTCTTCCTCTTTAACAGACGAAAATTCCGCCTTCCAAACCCCAGTGTCATCAGAGCCATTCCTCCTGCCCAGGAGTCACCAGCAACTAAGAGTCAAATCCATAAAGAAGTCAGCATGAAACTGTAGGGCCTGGATAGAGTGCAGATAGTATTCAGGTCTTAGCTGTGTACCTACAGGGAAAAGGAAAAGAACTGGGTTATGTTCCTTAATAAACCTGGTACCCTACCTCCGCCTACTAAGAACCAGTCAGTCACTCAGTCCCGTCTACACCCCCCACACACCGCCTCGGACTGTCACGACGACAGTGCTCCAGATTACTGACAAGACAACTGACCCCTTCGAGGTCTCTACACCTCCATACGATAGAATAATGCCATTAGAATAAGTTCCCCCTGAGATGATGATGTTTTAACACTCTAGAAATCAACAAATAGGAACCCATCTGAAGGACGTGTGTTAAGGGAGGAGACATAAAGGGAAAATTCAACAAATACTGTGTAAGTATAATTCAACTTCCAGAATGACTCACCACCCCTACAACCTTAAAAGTCAACAGGTCATAAACCTCGGTAATATGTTGCATTCAATGTGAATTCATCACTTTTCGCCTCTGCTTTTCTACAAAAACAATGAATATTCGTGGACAATGTGCTGCAAAGATCCAAGGAATTCATTCCACACTGGACTTAGGTCAGGACCCGGAGAGCAGCCACCAACTGCGAATGGGAATACTGAACATGTGACCACTCTATATGTGTTTCCACACAAATGGGTTTTGCCCTACAAAGTAGCCTTGAAACGGTATGCACTGGCTTCCCTACGGGAACCTTCCAAATGTTTATGGATTCTTCCCAAATCTTAGATAAGCTTTGCATCTTGTAAAGAAAGCATCTATTTTTTAGACCCTGAAGGGAAAGTTGGTAAACAGATGCCCCGTATGTGTTCTACTCCCAGTTCCTCAACTCGTGCCCAAGATGACAGCCCAGGGAGGACAGTGACCTTCCTAGGGGGGTATAAGAGAGCTCAGGTATCAGATAAGTCCTAGAAGTTTTGCAGGGATGGGAGTGTGAACTAAAGTAAAATTTTAAGGCTCACCCTCCACCAGCTGACTGAATAGACCCCCTCGTGGCCAAGGGAATATCCTAAAACTAAATACCCTATCAGGAGAAAGGTCAGACATGCCTTATTGTGCCCCCCTCTCTTCTTGAAGACATCCTTTGTAACCCATTAACAGGCCTAAGGATATGCAAGACACACCTGCAGGTCCTCAATTTACACAACAAATCTATGTCTGGTGGCTCATCTCTGATAATAGCTCCTTATGTGGAAACATTCCAAGCCTTAGACAAAGCTTCAGGTCTTTAACCAATTACAAGCCAAAGAATCTTTAAACTCACCTATAACCTGTAAGCCCCCCCACTTCCAGACGACCCCTTTTGGGACCAAGCCAATGTGTAAGGTTTTTCGGTAGCGGTGAAAACAAAAGACAGAGTGGGGGCCAAACCACATGGCTTTATTATACACTCTTGGACGAGGTTCCAGGGCCCCAAGAGAGGTGACCCCAGAAGTCACCCCCGTTTGAAGGGGCTTAGGCCTTTTATACCCTTTGGGCCTGGCTAGGGACTTTTGGTGGGAAGAGCTGGGGATTTTCCATTGTGACCTTGGGTGGTGGGTGAGAAACAGCAGGGGCTATCAGTATTTGTGGAATCCAGGAGTGGAAACGTTCTCATTCAGGTGGACTTCTGGGTGTGGCTCCTCTCAGTGGGGCCTGGCAGTTTTGTCCTTGGCGGGTCTGGTCTACCGAGCCTTTTCTTTTTTTATCTAGGGAAGGGAGGGGGCGCCACCAGCCTTACACAATGCATGCCTCCCACTATTGACTTATGACTTTACCTGTAACCCGTTTCCCTGAAACGTATAAAACCAAACTGTAACCCAGCCACAGCAAGTCCACTGGCTCAAGGCTTCTTGGGAGTGGCTCTGGATCATGGTCCTCAAATTTGGCTCAGAATAAACTTCTTTCAAATATTTCAGAGTTTAGATTTTTCCATCCACAGGGGCTATGGGACATGCTTTCCAGAGACCCTAATTGAGCTAATAAAGAAAAAAATCTGTTCATTGGCTATATGCGAAATAAAAGAAAGAAAAATAAACAAGAAAAAATCTGGCCAGCGTGATGGCTCACATCTGTAGTCCCAGCACTTTGGGAGGTTGAGGCAAGAAGTTTACTTGAGCCCAAGAGTTTGAGGCTGCAATGAGCTATGATCACGCCACTGCACTCTAGCGTGAGTGACAGAGCAAGACCCTGTCTCTTAGAAGAAAAAAATGAAAAGAAAAAAAGAAAATCCTTTCTGGAGAGATGATTTTCTAACATGAATCCAGGAACTTCATATCATTCATGGGCATGGAGTCGAGAACACTCTCCCTTCCACAGGCTCTATTATAATCTCTGTGAAATGCAGGCTGCTCACATCTGCATGTGGAAATTAAGAATAAGCCCCAGTCCTGTAAGAGTCCCTAGTTTGTGTCACAGTGGAGTTCTACACTAAACAGCCACTAAGATTGTAAGAAATGGAAATTATAAGAAAAGCTCAAAGCTAACAGCTTATTTTAGCTTCTGTCCCCTCAGCTCGCTTGCTTACAATGGATAGCTCAAGTAAAGCCATGACAGCCTTCAGTGGGTGCTGGGCGTCAGAAGGCGGTAACTGCAGGTCATTTCCTGATAAGAGGTTGAAAAGCCTGGGGGGGGGGGCCCAAACACCAGATGACTCTGCAGTAATAAAATGCAGAGGGAAAGCCCTAACACCAAAACCAATCTGCTGGTAAGAGGAACCAACCAGAGCCAACCAGAAAAGAAATGAAATAAACTGCTGAAGAAGACTGCAGGAGGGGGGAGGGGAAAACTACTTAAGGGATACCCATAACCCAAGCTGGGGTCCTTGTCAGAATAGAGGCCACTGCATTGGTGCTCTGAGACTTGGACCCTAGCTCGAGCTAGTCAATAAAACTCCTTTTGATGATTTCAGCCTCAGTGACTCTGTCTCTTTGTTCTGTGGTACTGCGGTTTTCCGCTCTAACAAGATATGGAAAAATTTTAAACCTTACCTGATGAAAAATAAATGGGGGTGAACATGGACTTTGAGCCATCATCAAAGTTTAAAACTTAACCAAAAAGTGGGAAATACCTTCAGAAACTGATAAATGAAGAAACGTCTCGACGAGTATTCAAATGGGGCATTGGTGGCCCTGCACTATGCCATCAGCACCCTCTGCGTTTGCAGCTTTTTTCTGGGATGAAAGCCGGGAGAGGTGAAGTGGACAGCCCTGGGCTGCGGCCGGGGCTCAGTCACCATGCCTCTGTCTAAGTAGAATGACATCACCTATGTAAGTACTTGCTTAAAAAGGGAAGCAAATGCTAGATCTTAAGTGTGTCCTTTCAGATAAAAGGAAGAGGCAGCCTTGCTATAGTCTGGAATCGACTGCTCTTGCTGGAATTCTCCTCAGAAAATCCACATCCTCATCAGCTGGGCCCAGCCCATCCGTGGTCACCTGCTGTACTTCCTCTTCTTCACTTAGAACTCCTGGGACCTGCTTTCTCTAAGGTCACACCACATGTGCCACATAACCAAAATCACCATATACTTTTAGCTTCCAACTGGGGGCATCTTTCAGAGTGAAAAGTAGCACAAACAAACACAAAAAACAGGACAATGGTGTAAACCAGGACTGCCCTGGGCACCTCAAGACATGTAGCCACGCCGAGCATGACTCCACTCCGTACCGCCCACGCTTGCTCCGGCACACACAGGAGGAAGCGGCAGTACGTGTCTGCTGTCATCCACCTGCTCTGCAGCCAGACTTCGGAATGATTACACAAATGCTGACAGTCACCATGCACAGTGTGGCTTAGGGGGTGGACTCTGCTTGGCTGACACTTGCAAGAGAGAAAAGAGACTCTAGGGAATAATGAATATTTCCTTAACGCCTCCCAAGTTCCTTTTTATGATTAAATCAAAAATATTGAAAGTATTCGATCTTAATCTTTTTATTTCAAAAGGCATAGAGTCTCCGAAAATCTTAAAAGCTAAGCCCAAAACAGCAGTTGAAACTTGCTAAAACTTTGCTTCCTCAAACTGTAGAGGACCACCTGAGGGGGGAGACTCCAACAGGTGTGCAAGGCTTTGCGGCCTTAAGGTCCCCAGTTCCCCAAAATGCAACATCAGGGTGACAAGCTGTCATCTGCTCTCCTGCACCCACTCCTGTTCATCAGACAGAAACTTGCTTAGGCAGCTATGACCAGCTCTGCGAACAAATTTCAATGACCCCTGTATGTTTTCTTACAATTCTCTCCCTTAACTATTATTTTGACCTTTTGAATTATTTCCCAGAAATGGTAGATTTTCTGCAAAAGGAAGGAGCTGAGATTCTGGACGCCCCTGGGCAGCCTTCCTGACCACATTCCCCAGGCCCCACATCCTGCACCAAAGCACTCAGCCCCTAGTTAGTTACCCCAAGACCTGCTCCAAGGCACGTGGCCCCTCCTTGAAAAGCCCAAGATCTCCCTTAGTCAAAGAGATGTTTTTGAGGCAGCTTGTCTTGTTCTCCTGAGAGAAAAAGGTCCTATTAAATTTTTGGCATACTTTTGTATTAAAAATCCCTTTCTTCCTTGGCAAGCCTTGTTGTTTCAATAATTGGATCTTTGTACAATGAGCACATGAGCAACTTGACCCCCCAAGCCCCTGTGAAAAAATGGACCCCCTCCTGGCCAAGGGAATATCCTAAAACAAAATTGCCTGCCAGAAGGAGGGAGGTCAGCCTAGCCTCATCATGCCCCTCCCTTCTTGGAGACTTCCTTTGTAACCCATTAACAGGCCTAAGGGTATGCAAGGCAAACCTGCAGGTTCTCACTTTACACAACAAACACAGGTCTGGAGGCTTGTCTCAGATAAACATTCCAAGTCTTTAAACAAAGTTTCCTCTTTTAACCAATTACAAGTCAAAAGAGTCTTTAAACCCACCAATAACCCGTAAGCCCCTCCCCCTTCAAGATGGCCCACCTTTTCGGGCCAAACCAATGTATGCCTTCCATGTAAATATATAATGTAAATGTATAAAACCAAACTGTAACCCAGCCATAACAAATCCACTCGCTCAAGGCTTTTAGGGTGTGGCTCTGGGTCCTGTTTCTCAAATTTGGCTCAGAATAAAGCTCTTTAAACTATTTTGCAAAGTTTGGCTTCTTTTCCATTGACACCTCCTTACAGTTCCAGGGTAACTAAGTGCAAGTGAAAGGAAGGTGGGTCTTGTGAGCAAAATAAATCAGCCCAGTTCCCTGCAGAGCCCCGCAGGACCCCAAACATCTCAAAAGGAGCCACCAGGCAAAAGGAAATGTAAATTATTTTACTGTGCTAGACCTATTGACTGAAACAGCCTTCTAGCATCTGTAAGGCTGGTGGCAGGCACCCCCTATCTCTAGATCAAAAAGAAAAGGCTCAGGAGACCAGACCCACCAAGGACAAACTGCCAGGCCCCACACCCAGATGTCCACCTGGATAAGAGGTTTAGGTTCCGGGTTCCACAAAATACCACCAGCCCCTCCTATTTCTCAATGACCACCGAAGGTCACAATGAAAAATCCCCAGCTCTTCCCGCCAAAAGTCCCTAGCCAGGCCTAAAGGGTATAAAAGGCCTCAGCCCCTTCAAATGGGGGTGACTTCTGGGGTCCGCTCTCTTGGGACTCCAGAACCTTGCACAGGAGTATATAATAAAGCCACGTGGTTTGGCCCCCACTCTTTCTCTCTGTCTTTTCTTTTCACCACCGAAAAACCTTACAGCATTCATTTCTACAGCCTGGAGTAGTTCCCGGAAGCTCCTGGATGACAGCATGGGGACAATCTTCAGCAGTATTTTGAGGGTAAGGTCTCTTTATCCCTAAAGCAAAGGGAATGCAGCAGTTTCACACAGCAGATTCCATCATCTGCTTGCAGTTAAGAAGAAGAGAAGGAGCAGATATGGCAATTCACAACAATTTACTATTTTTTCTTTGTCCCCATAAAAGCAGCAAGCCACTTGGCCACGCTGCTGGCATCTCCCTTCTCTTTCTTTGGGATACCACACCGACTCTCTGCTCTCTTCCTCATCCTCTTTTTCTCATTCTCTTGTCTTTCTAAAGGATAAAATAAATTTTGCTTATATATCTTAATCTCTGTGTGAGAAATCTTTGTTTTCCACCCTAACACAGGAAGCAGCAGCAAGGGGTCCACGGCTGCAGACAGGCGGGCAGCCCAGCGGGGTTCAGGGGAAGACAGGACACAAAACTGCAGTCCTCTGGCTGCCCTGGACCAAATGAGCAGGCCAAGGACATACTCAGTCCAGGGTCTGCACTTCCAGGCAATCTGAGCCCACACAGCCCTCTCTCCCTGCACAGCAGAACCCCTGGCGCTGTGGGGCACCAACAGACCAAAGATTAGGATAGCTCTGGCCCTTCCCCCAAACTTCTATGTTCTTCTTCCCACAAAGAAATTAAAATATCCCACACAGAGCCATTGAACCAGAAGAGGACTTGGAAGGGAAGGAGGGAGTGACGCAGGGTTCAGCAGAAAATGAAGGCCGAGACCCAAGTTGCTTCGGCTGATACCTGACCCCAACCGCCCTAAACAAGGAAGTCACTGCCAGGCCAGGACCCCCCCAAATGGGTGAATTACTAAGCCAGATGCTTATAAACTTTTGTGCTCATCTTTCTGTGCCAGCAGGTTATGATTAACAGTGCTGGTCACATATGGGATTTCTGAACATTTACCCCATAGGGTGTTCCCCTCCTCCTCGGGAGAGGACCCTTACTACATGGAGTCAATAGTCTCCGTCTCAATAAAACTTTCCTGTAGCTAGGTGGCTCACTCTTGAATTTAAGCTATTCATATTAAAATAATGTAGAGACACAAGGTATAGTGATCAAAGTCTGATTTTCGTAAAAGTATAGATAAAGCCAGAAGTTAACCAGCCACTGTTCCCTAATATCTTTGCTGCCGTAACTGGTCACTACTTAATGGCACTATCCTCCCTGACAGGTGTAAAATTTGTGACACCTACTCCCAGCCCCCCACTTCTACAGAAAACACTGCTATTGTAAATCTTAAAACTGGAATTTGAGGCATTTTTCAGACCCTGCATTCCAGGGGGACCCAACCAGACCCATGGATAAGTATGGGAATGGATCCAGCAGCCCTGAGACACCCTGCCCAGGAAACCTCCCAACTGAGAGATAATTTCTACACCGCAAACGATGAGCTCATCCCCCGCCAATTAGCAGGCCCAATTTCCTAGCCCTTTGTTTGCCAAACCACCTTTAAAAACCTTAGCCCCCAAATTCTGGAGGTGATGGATTTGAGAAGCCACCCCCACCTCCTCGCCTGGTGCCCTGCGATAGTAACATCTCCATCTCTGCTGCAAGCCCTGCTGTCTCCATACTGCCGTCCCCCGGCAGTGGGCAGGGACCCTGCGGGCCGTAAAGAATTCTTTCCCAAGAAGTCAAACATCCACTTGTCAAGGGCTTTCCTCCCATCACTGGGACACCCCCTGCATCTGGAGGGAGGAGAGAAAGGGAAGAGGGAAGGAAGAGACAGGGCAAACTTGAGCTAGCGGGACTGCTACACGTCCTCAAGAAAACCTTAACACCGTGTAAACTGGCTCTCTGGTATAACGTGATCATTTTTAAAATAACAGAACCATATTTAGAAAACTTCTAACACCAGATCCTTAAACAGAATTCCTTTTCCTCAAATTTTGGGAAACTCCTTTTCTTCTTCTACCCAAAATGCATTGAATTCGTATTCCCAAGGCTGTCTCCAATGTTATGGCCAAAACATTTCCACTTTTTCCTCCTGAAATGAAGACAGAATAATTTGTAGAGCTAACGGGGTGAGAGACCCATTATCTCCCTAGAAATGGCACCAGCAAGGCCCTCACGCCACTCAGAGACACTCATTGGGCGATGTCACTCCTGCCTGATGCCTGCTTCCAGTGGGCACACGGCGGCCTCATGCCACTCGCTTCCAGGCGTAGCCTGGCTCCAGCCACAGGAACCAAAGCCCTCCTCGTTCCTGTCACACCTGAAGGAAAGCTGCCCACCACCAGCAGCTAGGAGCCCTGCACACTCCCAACCCTGGGCAGACCTGTGCAAATGGAACCCCGCCTTCTTGGCAGGAAAGAGGAAGATATAGGAGCTCTAAGAGGAATATAGCCACTTGTCAAATATTTTATCTTATATGCTCTGAATATCCAACAGCAGAGAAGCAGCTATGCTGAACTGGAAAGAATTCAAACGGCAGCTCTGCTCTGCGACCTTGACCAGCCCACAGTGCCTATCTCACTGATGCAACAGTCAATAGAAATAATGCAAATTAAAAGTGCCATTTTTTTTTTTTGAGACAGGGTCTGGTCCTGTTGCCCAGGATGGGGTGCAGTGGCGTCATCACAGCTCACTGCAGCCTCCAACTCCTGGACTCAAACAATCCTCCTGCCTCAGCCTCCCGAGTAGCTAGGACAATAGGCACCCACCACCACACCTGGCTAATTGTAAAATTTTTTGTAGATCTTGCTCTGTTGCTTAGGCTGGTCTCAAACTCCTGAGCTCCAACAATTCTCCAGCCTCAGCCCCTGAAATGCTAGGATTACAGGCATGAGCCACTGCGTCCAGCCAAAAGTGCTACCTTGAAAAAAGTAAACCCTCCTATAAGGTAAGCATGTCAGAATTAGATTTGAGGGTAAACCTTGGCATCCAGTAAGTCCCAACAGGCTCGATAAAATGAGAGTCAATTCAAAAAGCTGTGGTCAGATTAAGAAGAATGAAAACGGCAGAAAGTAAAAGCCAATAATGGAAGAGAAACTGGAGGTGGTGGCCCTCTCAAGCACATGCCCAGTTCTCTCCACTCACTCACTGGGCTATGCTGACTCACCATCCCCTTTCCTCACTAAAAGTAAACCTTACATTTTATCTCAACCACAATAAACAGGCACATAGCAAAAATAAGTGAATGCTACAATCCCTCCAAGTCCCGGCTCCTAAGGGCAAAGGAGAAAACGTGTTCTTCCCTAGACTACACGAGCAGGGTGTGGTGCTTCATCAGAGAAGCATGGGGCACTGCGCCTGAGCCCAGTGTGCCCATCTCCTCTGCTCACTCAGTAAGTAATGGGAAAATGTGTTTAACCATCTTGCACCACTAGACTGCAAAAATAAGAAACATGAAGTTTGCATAAGGTCTATATTCCATATGGTTGTCCTTCCTGTGATTTAATGATGAAAACTTCTATCCATATTAGGAGCTTTCCTTTGCATTAGCAGGTTTGGGCTTAAAAATCAAAATTAGTAGTGGGGCACCCCTGTAATCCCACCTACTTGGGAAGCTGAAGCAGAAGGATCACCTGAGCCCAGGAGTTCAAATCCAGCCTGGGCAACAGACCAAGACCTCGTCTCTAAATAATCAAATAAATAAAACCAAAATTACTTAAGCTGTTACTGTTTCCACTCCCTAAATTCAATTTGTCAGTTTTATTAAGATTATCAACTGATAACCCAGTAGGAACACTATACAGCCTCCACATATAGTTCAGGCTGTCCTAGGGTCCAAAGGCAGACACGCGTCTCAGGAAACCCCAGAAGTGACTAAAATAAAGGAACGAGGTTAGACACTCTCTGATCTTCCAGGAGGAATCACTGAGTGACCTCACCTTTCACAGACTCTGTGCTGATGCTGGACTGAGACTCCTATGAAGGCTGCGCGTTGGATCTGCTCCCTCAAATCAGAATGTTTATCTGAAATATTAGATAAAACAGAAAACGTGTGATTTGTTGCTCAATGATCTTTCATTTAGTGACCTACTGACAAGTAACCTAACCAATCTTGAAAGTAAAAAAGCTGACAAGCTAAAGAGAAATGACATTGTTATTTTTCAAGAATAAGTCTTTTAAATTATAAAATACCTATATTTACGTATAATACATACATATAGCATTGTTCTATGTGCCCAACATATGTGAATAATAGCTGCCATCCATAATTGGGAGCAAAGTATTTTATCTTTGCTTTTTTTAGCAAAAAAGATAAATTTTATCTTTATTTTTAACTTCAAAGCTATCATTAAATATCTAAATCCCGCTCACAAAAAATAATTTAATACACACTGACCCGTAGCTTTTTTCTCTTGTTCATTATCTTAAATATATTATCACAATCTCATCAACTGCTATTTGCGTTCGAAATTTCCCATCTTAAGTGGTATTTTAAATGATAAATTGAATTATTTTCAATCTACACCAACACAGACAGAGAGCGACCCCTGAAGTAATCGAGATTTTTCAGCAAACAAATAATTTCCAGAATGCTATTTTTCCAATAAACTAACTGGCAATCCTGAAGGGGCAAGGTTTCATTTCGCAGTGATAAGAAATAGCCATTAACCGAGAGGACTAAACGCCGCGAGCCCGGGCACAAGACGCGTACAAACCCGCGCTTTCCCGGCGCTCCGCACCCTGCACCGCCCGGCCCGGTCCGCAGCCCCGGAACCCGGCAGCCCCGGGCTTCCGGCTTCCGCAGCCTCCGCCGCCCGGGAAACCCGCAACCTGGGCTTCCGGCTTCCGCAGCCCCGGAACTCCGCAGCCCGGGCTTAAGGCTTCTGCAGCCGCCGCCGACCCGGAACCCCGCCGCCCTGCAGCCCCGGGCTTCAGGCTTCCGCAACCGCCGCCGACCCGGAACCCCGCAGCCCTGCAGCCCCGGGCTTCCGGCTTCCGCAACCGCCGCCGACCCGGAACCCCGCAGCCCTGCAGCCCCGGGCTTCCGGCTTCCGCAGCCCCGGAACTCCGCAGCCCGGGCTTCCGGCTTCCGCAGCCGCCGCCGACCCGGAACCCCGCCCGGGCTGGGCCCAGCGGCTGGCGGCGCGGGCGCGGGCGCGGAGGCAGACCCCAACGGAGGCCGGACGCACGCGGGGTGCGCGGCCGGGCCGGCCTCCGCGCAGCCTCAGGCGCGTCCTCGGCTCCCAGCCAGCGTGGCGGGGTCGTTAGGCCGGAGCGGGCCGGTCGTCCTCGGGCCAGCAAAGCGCCTTGCAGGCGCGTGTGACGGGCAGACGGGAGCCGGACGTTGGTCGCGCGTCTCCTTTCTCTTTCGCCGGCGGCGACTGTGCGCCCGGCAGGTCCCAGCGCGCCTGCAGCGCGTCACTTCCGACAGCCCTCGGCCCCTGCCTGCGGGCCCCAGCTGCGGTCCCCGCCACGCGGGCCGAGGGCAGGCAAGCTCGGAGCGACGGCCAGACCCGCAGCCCCCAACGGCCCGCGCGCTTTCCCGCTGTGTCCGCGCGCGCGCGAGCGGCGTCGGCGGCCGCCGCGCTCGCAGATACGGACGCATGCCGCGGGTGCACGCAGCCTCGCCCCAAAGCATTCTGGCTGACCAGAAAAAGAAACCGAGAACCCAGTTAAGCTTCCGTCTCTGACTCCAGGCTCGGGACATTCAGGGCCGCGGCGTTAGGTGCCGCCGGGAAGCAACCGCCCGCTCCACAGTGAGGGCAGTAGTGCAGACCCCACGACCCGATTTCCTCACTCGGAAACGCACTGTGTCCGAATAAAAGAAAAGGGGGCGGTGGTGAGGGAGCTGCCGGCCGGCGCACCTGCGACCCGCTGGGGCCCCAAGTGGGCTCGCACCGGCCTGGGCAACTCAGTGAGGCACACCCCCTCGCACTCTTAAAACAACGGAATGAGAGAGACACACCGGCCAAATGCAGTTTATGGACCCTGTTTGGGTTATAATAAGGATAAACAAACTTAAAAAAAAAAAGACGTTTTTTAAAAGTTTGGGAAACAAACACGGACTGAATGTTAGACAACATTTAAAGAATTATTGATAATTTCGTATGACAATGCTATTGCAGTTACGTTTTGTTTTTTGTTTTTTTTTTTACGGTTCCCATCAGAGAAACATACACATATACAGGAAAATATATGATTTCTGGAATTTGCTTTAATATGCATTTAATAACAAATTTCTGGATTTTTTTCACTTTAGGAAAGAAGTGGGGGATACAAAGAGAAACAATATTGGCAAAATGTTTAATGTCCCGGCAGGGAGATGGGTACATGGCCATTGTAGTAGGCACAATAATGCCCCCCTCTCAAAGAGGCCCACACACTACTCTCTGGACCTTACATAGCAAAAGGGACTTTGCAGACATGATTAAGGTTAAGGACCTTGAGATGGGAGACTATCCTGGATTATCTCTGTGAGCTCAGTCTGATCACTTGGGTCCTTATAAGCCCAGGACCTTTCCCAGCCCAGCCATGAGTCAGAAAGAGATACCACAGTGGAAGGAATGGCTCAGCCCCCTGCTGTTGACATTGAAGATGGAGGAAGGGGCCACAAGCCAAGGAATTTGGCAGCCTCTGCGAGCTAAAAGAGGCAAGGAAGTGACTTCTCATGTACGGTTTCCAGGGGTCCTGCCAACACCTTAGCTTTAGCCTAGTGAGACCCAAGTCAGACTCAGACCTGCAGAACTCTAAGGTAATAAATTTGCGTTGTTTTAAGTCACTACTTTGGTAGTAATTTGTTACAGCAGCAGTAGAAAACTAACACAAGCATTCATTATATTTCTCTGTACTTTTATGTATGTTTAAAATTTTTTGTAATAAAATATTAAGACCATAAAACATACACGTAACTAAGAAATACATATTTCAAAGTACTTCATTTACACCTGAAGAGCAATCTGACCTAGCATAGAATTATGCATTTTAATTTGATATGCCATAATTCCCTTTTAAAAAGCATTAAGAGTATAATTAATAAAATAACATTGATTTTCAAAGTCACAGATATTTAAAAAAGCAGGGTACAACCTATTCCCAACTTTAGAATTGGTTTATTTAGACTGATTTCTATCAAAATGTTCATACTGGCATGACTTCAAGAATGCTAACGTTTATGAAAGTAATTTTCCTACTGGCATATATTAGTTTCAGGAAACATAAAAAAATGAGTAAATAAGATTTATGAAATCAAATTTTTAAAGAAAACAATCTCTCAAAATATGTAAAAGTAGAATGATTTAAAAATAGTACCCAATATTTTAATGTAATTTCTAATTTTCAATTAGTGTATTTAAGAATTTTCTATTATATGAGTAAATTACCATATTTTGTCAAATTTGCTAAAACAAGCAAGACTTATTAAGAAAGCACATAGTTTGAACTAATTGTATTAGTTGACTTTTGATGCTATTAACTAATTTTTTTCTTTTTAAGAGACAGGGTCTCACCATGTTGCCTAGCCTCCTGGCCTCTAGCGATGGTCAGAGACCCTGGAGCCTCTTAAAGGCGTCACGTGATTAAGTCAGGTCCACGCAAGATAGTCTCTCTTTTGATTAGCTAAATGTCAATTCATTAGGGACCTTAAATACATCTGCAGTATCCCTTCACTTTTGCCATGTAACATGCTGTGGCACATTGAGTTCTTGCTTAAAGGGATGAAAGAACTTAAAGGAACCATTTTTCCTACCTCAATTATGCATTTGGAATTTAGTTTTGGTTCTTAGACCTTTGCAATTTTTTTCTTAAGGTAATCTTCCTCTGTATCCTATTTTAGATTATGATGTCTAAGGTCAAAAGTATACCTCCTCCGTCCGTATTCTTCCCTCCAAATAGTGTTTGCACTGTGATCTTAATACATTATGAAGAACTGTGATACACTGCTCACAGTTCACTGTTCACATTGTTGTGGCAAGTGACCAGCAACTGACCAGGGAAAGAACCGAGGGGCACACAGAGGGTCAAGAATCAGCTTTTATTTTGCCGGTGGGCTCAGAGGGGCATGCCACCAAATTCTGAGCCATATTTCCTTATTTTTCCCCAGTCTTATACATTTACACAACCAACCAACTATTATCTAATTAGTAGGGTCAGCCGTAAGCTTTCACATGTAGTGGATTTTGCCTCAGGCCCTCTGGTAGGGGCTTTTCCCTGTCATCAGTAGGATCAGCTGTAAGCTTCACATGAATCCAGTCAGCAGTGAGTTCAGCCATGGGGTCCTGGGGTGAGGGTTCTTCCCTAACATGACACGTGATAGTCAATGTGCAGTGAGATGTTAAGTGGCGATACATTTTATATCATTGTAATTTACAAATTATCTTCCTACCTCCTGTATCCAGTATAATCCTAGCCAGGTTTGAAACTCCTGAGAGGAGGGCCAGTGCTTCGTACCTACTTATAACCAGAATAGCATTTGGTAGAATGACAACATGTAATTGATTCCCAATCGAAATGTATGGAAAGAGTTGAAAAAAGTGAGATGTGTTAAGTAGTCTTCAGAGATCTGGTTTAGGGAACTTTGATTTAGTTACTTTTAAGCAGTGTGGTTGTTAGGGCTTTCTTGGGAGAATTACTTTGATTTGTTTTGCAATCATGTGCTTAGTTCAAGACAGAGCCCACAGTTCAATACTGAGAATGACTCATTCAAATTTTCCTTTTAATTTTTATATTTACCATGAATCAAAGGCCATTTATCCATTAGGTGATATGGACAGAGCAAACAAATGGCAAAACCAAAAGCCTATGAACAATGTTTGGAATAAAACTAGGTGTCCCCACAGCCTCCAAGTGCAGGAGAGGCTGGGGATGAGCCACTGACGGCTGCCAGGTCCGCGTGGCGTCGGCGTAGGTGCTGGCGGAAACGGGGCGACACAGAATCCCCTGGACCTGCGGACAGCGAAACCCACAACAGCCTCAGGAAAGCGTGGCGAGATCAGCAGCTGCAAACTGGCAGGATTTTGCCCCGAGCAGTAGTGGGTACAAACAGGAGTAAGAGCCAGGAGGCTGGAGCAGTGCTTCCTTCCAGGACAAGACCCCTCAGAGAGGGGAAACTGTCAAGACGGAACAAGAATTTTGCAGGATGTTGTCTAGAGAAATGTGGGAAAGAGAAAGTGCAGATAAAAGTGGGGAAAGGGAAATTTCAGAAGGCAAACATCCATGTGTTCGCACAATAATGAAAACAATAGCCAAGGTGCTAGGGTCTGAATGTTGTACTCACCCCCCAAATTCATACGTTTAAATCTAATCACCAATGTAATGGCATTAGCAGGAAGGCCTTTGGGAAGTGATTAGGTCATGAGGGTGGAGCCATCATGAATGGGATTCGTGCCCTTATGAAAGAGACCTCAGAGCCTTCTACCACCACCACATGAGGACACAGCAAGAAGGTGCCTCTGTGAACCAGGAAGTGGGCCCTCGCTAGACACCGAATCTGCTGCTGTCTGGACTTATCAAGTCCAGTCTTAACCTTGGACTTTCCAGCCTTCAGAACAAATTTCTGTTGTTTATAAACCACCCTGATTATGGTATTTTTTGTTATAGTAGCCTGAAAGAAAAGACATTAAGAGAAGTTGCAAGAGCTCTCCTGAGTTCTGCCCCCTTCTAGATGTTCAGGAGAGAGAATAGTCATAAGAATGCCAGCATTAGAGAGGAATTGAGGTCAATGACATACAAAGTTATCAGGAAAAATTAAATAACAAGTAGAATGACATTCCTATAGCCAATCAAAGCATGCCACAAAGACATGCCCATTAATACAGATCAAAACCCATAACCTATTGTTTCAAAAGAAGCTCAAAGCATTAAGAGTATGATAGAAGATATGAAAGAACAATATGACTCAGAAGCAGCACAATTCACTATTGCAAGGACATGGAAACAACCCAAATGCCCTTCAATTCGTGAGTGGATTATTAAAATTTGGTATATGTACACAATGGAATATTACTCAATTATAACAAATGACAGTAATCTAGCACCACTTATATTTTCCTGGATTGAGCTTGATCCC